CTTCCTTTGGCAGTCACGAGCTTCAACCGCTATTCAAAGTTTGTGGAAGCACTGGGACGTCGTCTTCTTGCCTGCTTGGTATCGATGCATTTTGATGATGCAAACATCGTTGATTGGGCCAGCTCCAAAAGGGGCATCGCAGATGGCTTTTGTGCAGCTCAACGAGCTCCTTGGCACCCCTTTTGCGGAAGAGAAGCACCAGCCAGTGTCAAGCCAAGGACTTTTCCTGGGCCTTGACCATGGCATGTCCCACCTGAGCTCTGCAGTCTCCATCAGTTTTTGGCCACGGCAACGACTCACGGACAAGATCAAGACTTTGATACGGGATTGCCGTTCCTCAGCTCAACTGCACTCAGGTACAGCCTCCAAGATCTACGGCATGATGAATTTCCTAGAACAAGGCACCTATGGTCGCATCGGAGCCCAAGGGCTAGCACCCATCAAAGAGAGACAGTATGAGAAGGGCGTCGTCTGACACCTCGTATTTTAAAGATTTTTGAAGTCATCGAGGCGATACTTCGGGACAAACCCAAGCATCAATTCTTCATTTTTCCGCCCCCTTGCCTACGGTTTGTAGGTGCGTCGGATGCAGCCCTAGAGTGTCCAGGGCAGGGCTCCGAGGGTTTTTGTATAGTCTGGATGGATCATCCTGGTGCCACTAGGGAGGCTTTCATCGCAGACCTGCCACCAGCAGTGTATGACCTGTGGGAACCAGGTGATCGCAAGATTGCACAACTGGAGATGGTTGTCATCTTGCAGGCATTGGTCTGTAGACCGGACCACTTTCGCGAGCGACGCGGAGTGTGGTTTATTGACAACGTGGCGGTTCTTATGACACTGATCAAGGGACGAAGTGATTCCCCAGATCTTGAAGTCATGAGTGGCATAATCCACGCATTGCTTTTTGCATATAAGACCTGGATCTTTTGGGAATGGGTCCCTTCCAAAAGTAACTGGACTGATTCGATCAGCCGGTTAGGATGGAATGATCCATGGTTCAAGTCTAATGGTTTCACAGCGCAGCTGACACCTTTTCCAGCCATTCTCTGGCGGCTTCCTATCGCGGCCATCATCCGTGCGGCCGAATTTCTTTAAATGCATTGGGACTAAGTGCGTTGGGTGTGAATTGATATCTGGAAGTGTCCAGTATCTGAACCTGACTGAAACAGGATGCCTCCATCAGCTGGGCTGATTGATCTATAGGCATACCCAATGCATTATCCTGTAGGAATACAGGTTGAAAGACCAGAGAGAATGGAGAGAGAGAAAAGGTTGAGTGCACCTGCGTTTGTGAGGGTTAGAGACTAACCTGATGACTTATTCCCCAACCTTTAAGGAATGTATGACTGTCTAGTGTTTGGCAGGCCTGGGTGGACAGTGGTCATTCCTTGGTGGTTGGTTTAATAAGGAGAAACCAATGCCAATTTTGGCTCAAGTAAATATTGATCCAAAATAGCAGCATTGTTTTCCTTGCCCTCCCTAAATCAGGGATTTTGACCCACCCTGTTATTAGGACCCCGGTGGGGTCTCCTCATAACTTGTAGTCTGCGCTGCAGATGGGGTCTTTTAGCGCAGAGGTCTGTGAATACCTATAGATTGGAGGAGGTACTGTTCCAGCGGGTGTGAATTGATATCTGGAAGTGTCCAGTATCTGAACCTGACTGAAACAGGATGCCTCCATCAGCTGGGCTGATTGATCTATAGGCATACCCAATGCATTATCCTGTAGGAATACAGGTTGAAAGACCAGAGAGAATGGAGAGAGAGAAAAGGTTGAGTGCACCTGCGTTTGTGAGGGTTAGAGACTAACCTGATGACTTATTCCCCAACCTTTAAGGAATGTATATATATTACATATAATTATATATATATATGACATGATATCCTATAGAATATCATAACATATCCCATTGTTTTTCCATTTTTGTTGGTCACATCTTTGGCAATCAAGCGTGGCTAGCTGGAAGGTCACCGAACTATAGCTGGGTCAATTGTTAGATTAGCAGAGAATAAAGCCCAATGTTTTATCCCCATAATGCGTTTTTTTTGCTGGTCATATCTAACCATATATCATTTATACGTATCATTTTGCTGATCATATCTAACCATAATGTTTTTTTTTGCTAGTCATATATCATTTATATCCTAATCATATCCCAACCTCTCTCCGGCAATCAAACATGGCTTGCTAGAAAATCCACCAGCAATAGTTTGAAGATTTTCCCATTACGATGACATCTGGAGGTTTCAATAGCAATAGGGCTAGCCCAGTTCTCGTCCATGTGATTTTGGGATTATAAACCATCGCAAACGATCATAACTGATTCGTGGTTTGGAACATTTTTTTCCCTTTCAGTTGGGAATCATATATCATCCCAACTGACGAACTCACTAACTCCATCATTTTTCAGAGGGGTGGTGAAAATACCAACCACCAACCAGAATACATAGATCATCATTTACCATCATTTACCACCATTAATTACCATTAATCATCCCTTTCAAGCGTCATCAAAAACCATTGGGCTGCCCCGGTACCGGAGAGTCGCAACGGTTAGGCGTGTTGCCTCGACCGGTGAAGTCGAAGCATGAGCTGGAGGAGGCCGCCGTGGTCGCCATTTACTCCGGGGGGAGTTTTTGGCATAGAAAAAACCAGGGGGAGATATGACCTGAAACACACACAGATATATAGATAGATTATATAGATTGGATTGGATTGGATAGATAGATAGGATTGGATAGATAGATGGATTGATGGATGGATGGATTGATGGATGGATGGATGGATAGAGAAGATAGGCATACATATACTTATTTACATATAGATTTACATATAGATTTACATGTAGATATATCAACAGATGTGGATCATCCAAACATTGGAGGTCACTATGAACAAAATTGCATTTCAATAGGTAAACGTATACTTTTTGAACCTCAGATGTTGGCTTTTCAAACCTTGCGGTTTAAACATCAAACGATTGGATTCCAACTGATTCAACCATCAAATCTTGAGGTTTGACTGATTTAATTTTTCTTGCTCGGAAACATGGGGTTTAACAGATGCTTTCACCAGTTGTACCATGTTGTACCCTCCGGCATTTTCACTTCCTCAAGAATATTTTTCTGGGATCGATATGGGTTGACCCTCAAGAAAAATTGCAACGTTTTGCAGATTTATTGGGAAGAACTGTTGGATTTTAAGCCACGAACATGGGAATACAACCGCTCGAATGATTGGACTGCGGCTGGGGTCAATTTTTGTTTTCGTCAAAAAACGACTTGAAACCTTTGACTTGAATAGCTTCGATTGGTAGGTGCGGCATGGTGCGGCTGCCAGCCAAATGCAACCAATATTTTGCACATTGCATAGTCGTCAGACACAGGGCCACAGAAACAATAGAACAATTATGAACAATCCTAACAGGCAAACCACACGGGGTATATAGTTAATTCCTGGACACAGGTTACAATATCCCATGCTATTCCGTTGATGCTTTGAGTTTGCACATCTTTGAACCCCCAGTTGCTATCCACTTAATTAATTTTGCAGATCTACTTGTAGCTTCTAAGTTTTGAAAAACAACTACCAAACTTCGTTGTTAAGCTTAGTTGCTCGCCAGTTCCTAAGTTTCTAACCAGCGAGTTCCAAGGGCTTTGGGGGACGCTGGCTGGTGATTGCTTCCAGTGGGGAGTGCCTGATGGACTACGTGCAAGGTGCCTGGGGAGGGATTAGATTTCCATGGATATCAACTGAGTTTTTCTGATGGCGGGGACGATAGCATAGGGAAGCTGAGCTGTTGTAGATATGGAAAAAATATACCCTCTGGTAAACTAACATAGCTATGGAAAATCACAATTTTTAATGGGTAAATCCACTATAAATGGCCATTTTCAATAGCAAACTGTTAGTTTACCAGAGGGTACACATGTTTTTTTTGGTAGATTGGGGACCTTCCCCAGTTGGAAGATCAAATCGATGATCTAGTGCTTAAGATCTGAACAATCCTTTGCAATTCTCATGCCCCATGTGATATCAAACTTTTTTGGCTTTGTCGCCTTCGGGAATATTGCCCACCGATGGTTTTCCTGACCCTCCCAGATTATAAACCATTATAAACCTACATATTTATAGATGATTTCCAATGAAATCAGTAACTGGTTGGTGGTTTGGAACATGAATCTTATTTTTCAGTTGGGAATGTCATCATCCCAACTGACGAACTCACTCCATCATTTTTCAGAGGGGTAGGTATACCAACCACCAACCAGATAATTAATCATCATTTACCATCGTTTACCATCATTAATTACCATTAATCATCCCTTTCATCACCAACTGACTTTCACTGGCTTAACCAGCAACCAGATCATAATCCCCCCATGGAGTTTGATGATTTTCCCAGCGAAAACCCCATGGCCCCTGGAAATCCCAGCCAGCAGCCAGCACGATGGTCCAGGTGCTTGCGATGTGGAACGTGAACTGCCACGGTGCCGGGACAGATCTACAAAAAGTGACAGAAATGGCCGGAAGTCAAAAGCCCATTACCCTAGGTACCCCCAAAGTAAATCAAAGTAATTTGTTAAGGGATGTTTATTCACATGTGGGGGACATTTTGAGTTTGACAAACTCAAGTGAGAACAAGAGTCAAGACATGCAGTCTTTCCAATCTCGATGCAGGGGATGAAAAATGACAGCTGTTTCGACTGTTTCGCATTACCCTTTTCGTATCTTTTCGTAATTTACCACCAGAAGAGATAGACAAGCAAGATCCTACTAATAGAAATCGTGAATTGTAACTTTTCTATTTCTTCGGAGCTTACTATGCACCCCACTTCAATTTTGACATTTTTGTTCGTCAAGACCAGACCCGGCCTCTTCTACACCCCATTTCAATTCTGACTTGTTTTTTTGCCAAAAAGACCGGCCTCCCATTGAACCCATTGCCAGTACCGGTACCAACGGCGGCAGGGCCAGTCTTTGCTCGTTAGCCACCGCCATGCAGCAGTTCATTGACACGGCCTGTCGTCAGGGCGAAGAAGCCATGACACATGCAGCGACCCGGCTCGGCACGGGACGGTGGCCGGGAAAACTGGAGCTTTGTGGCAATGGATGGGTTGAGTTGGGAAAACCTGAGATCTTGTCTTGCTTCCCCCCCAAAAATGTTTTTTTCCGGAAGAGTTTTCGCTTAAACCTCCTTAAACATCCTTAAACATCCTTAAACCAAGTCTGAAATCTAGAGTTTTCTGTTGAAACTTGCCAAGCGACATGGGAAAAAAAACATGCAAAACACATGGGAATTGCCTGCACAGTGATCGAGAATTGGGGTTGTGAAGAAACTAATCTTCTAATTTTCCAGTTGATTTTGGGGGTGCCAAACCAACACGACTTTTGTTATATGGTCTTTTTGCCGAATAGTTTGGCTATATTCCATTCAACCAGTTTTTTTTTTCAAACTATTACTCTATGTCATTTTATGTCATTTTGTTCCAATTTGTGGGTTACATTCCTGCTACTTGCTTGGATTTTGCTTTGCTATATCCCGATTTTGTCTGGTTTAAATGTCCTATTTGTGCTGGTTGGTGGATTTACGGAGGAGCACAACCCCTCATTCACAATATTCATAACACTTCTGGGGCATTTTGGGCAAAGAACGGTAATAGTCCAAAAATAAAGCGTAACATACTTTCCTCAAAGGAATTCAAAGGATATCAAGGACATCATTTCAACTAATGATAAGCTGGTGGTTGGGATTCGTCTCTTGGAAGTCTGGGCTTGTTCTAGATTCTGGAGTGATACCCTCTGGTAATTTAACAGTTTGCTATTGAAAATGGCAATTTATAGTTCATTTGCTCATAAAAAAATGTGATTTTCCATAGTTATGGGACAGTTTACCAGAGGGTAACACATTCCTGGATCCCAAGATTTCAAATCCACGTTTCTTGTATCCGATGATGGATAAATCTTCCTATGGAAACATCCATCAGGAATTCGAGTTGTTAATGGTTTTAACATGTTTTGAGATATTGATTATCAAATCCATATGGTTGATACAATGCCACACACACACATATATATATATTCTTGTGTATATTATAGCATTTATAGCGGCATCACATCATATACCATCATATCATATAATCCATCCAACATAACATGAACGGTACAGGTGACGTTCAACTCCTTGCAGCTGGCCATTTGTTCTGGGAGCAGCCTTACGGTGCTGGTGGTGGTGGCGCCCAAGGCAGCGTTTTTTTTTTGGGGTTTTGGGCAGTAACCAAACATGGGATGAAGCAAGCAAAAATATGCAAACATGTGGTTGAAAAACACCCCACTTTGGAGGTTGAACCTCCCAAAAAAGAAACCAAGAATCATGGGTTTAGATCACATAAATTTAAGACTGGAACCTGAAACATGGGGTCCTATAGACGATTGGATATGGTCCTGGTGGGGTTTCATTTGAATTTTCGGGGGTGTTTATTTTTACCTCAAAATTCAGGTGTTCAGGTCTGGGGCTGGTTGTCCTTCACACTGCAGTTTCAGTCGAGACAGCCACGTTTGATGACTAGAGGGTATCAACCAACCATTCAGTTTCAACTAATCAGCATATATCATCATAAATCAACATGAAAAGTCTCATAATACCCTCTGGTAAATTAACATAGCTATTGAAAATGGCCATTTATAGTGGATTTATCCATTAAAAATGGTGATTTTCCATAGTCATGTTAGTTTACCAGAGGGTATATCAGAATGTCTCTGCAATTTCGCCATGGATATTTTATGGATTTCTTACCCAACAGCCAACACCAAAACATCCTTTTCCTTCCACGAATCGGATCCACGTCTCTTCACAGGCCGGAAGCACCTCAACGGCCTCAACGGCCAGCTTGCGTTACAAGGCTATGGAGATCCACGTGGCTCTCAGTCGTGGAGCATCTAGGCCCAAAAAGGCTGAGATCATCAGCTTTTCGGTCCATTTTCTCAGGATTTTGTTCGGGAAAAACATGGAACAATAGAAGCAATTAATATACAAATATAGATCATTTCTTGGCAGAACAAATTCAGGAAATCTTCCCATCAAATGCTTAAGCCATTGATTTTTGAAGACGAACAGTGACAATCCAATCTTTGGGGTGCCGAAAAACCACATGGAAAAAGCGGAGACCATGAAAAACCCAATGAACACGGGGAATTGATGAAGCAAATCATCCAACATATACGATGCGATTAGTAACTTTGTCCACTTCACTGGGGCATTTTGTCCCATCGCCATAGATCATTTATATGTGGAAAACGGCTTTTCTCAACCAGAAATCAATTGTTATTTTCAAAAAACATATTTCACACTTAAAATCCATCAATTTTCCCTCGAGAATTTTCCAAGCAAATCCGGGTCCCGCACCCCGCGAGGGAGTTTTCGCGCCGCGGACTGAGGAGTTGGGTGAAGAGTTCAAGAAGGTGGTCGGTGCATCTGCGGAAAGCAGGGCTGAGAAGGCGGTGTTTTTGTTGATTAAGAGCTGGAGGTTTGAATGAGTTTACTACTATTTAATGAAGAAAAACTGGCGCAAATAGTTTGAATACGAGTTTAGCAAATCGTTTCTACATTTTGATGATCAGTCCATTTAAGCACGAGTTGAAATAAAATGACATAAACATATAAATAAACCAAAGACTGGGGTCTTCATGATGTTTCACCACAAAAAACGAGAGTTTCAGGTGCTTTTTTCAAACCAGTGACATCTTCCCCAGAGATTTGTCAGGGTACCGGCCTGACCTGATGCAGGTGTCAGACTACACCCTGTCCTCCTGCCTGGCGGAAGACGACTCCGCCATGCACCTGCCAAAGGAACTGGCCAGCAGCTCTACTTGGAATTTGATGCGTTTTTTTTCTCCTACCCTCTGGTAAACTAACAGTTTGCTATTGAAAATGGCCATTTATAGTGGATTTTCCCATTAATAGCATGGTGATTTTCCATAGCTATGTTAAATTACCAGAGGGTAATGGGGTTAAAACATGTTAAAACACTGTCATTTTTACCAGCCATGACTGGAAATGGTAACCATACCCACCTATTTATGGTTAAATCGGGGATTCTTTATAATTATACCAACATTACTGTAAGATACTGTAAGTGTTTTTTCCAGTTGGTTCAATGAGATAAGCCCCATCGCTGAATCCAACACGAGATCATATGAATAATACAGAGGTTTATGGCATTGGGTGTTTTTCCTGCATTGGAATTTGCCCAGATCGATGGATATCATGTTTTTTTTTTCTGATGATCTAACCTGGTTGGTGGCTTCAAACATTTATTATCTTCCATAATATATGGGATGTCATCCTTCCCATTGACGAACTCATATTTTTCAGAGGGGTGGCTCAATCACCAAGCAGTAATGGGATTGAACAATCAACTTGAGTGGTTTCTATGGGCTGAAGAATGGGATATACCATCCGATCATCAACCGTGGCTACATGATTTTCCCAGCTATAAGAGACCTCCATTTGTAAACAAACAGTTTGCGATTGCATCCATGGCCATAGAAAGTTTGTTGATTTACCCAGCTACAAAATGGTGATGTAACCCATCGTTTTTTGTAGGTTTACCAGAGGGTACCTCCATTTATAAGGGATTTCCCAGTGAAAAAAACAACCTCCGTTGAAGTTCGCGGAGTCCCTCGGAGCTTGGCAGGTGCCGCCCAGCAAAGCTTCGTGGAGGCCTTTAGTTCAAGCTATCAGGCGTTGTTGGCTGATGCCTTAAAGGACTTGGAGCCGGCTGCAAGGCGGAAATCTTGCGGAGATGCGGATGGTATGGGATGGTGGGGTGGGCCACTGGATCCAAATGTGTGGGGAAACTTGGGAGTTCATGGGGATTTCATGTGGTATTTACCACCTGGTAAACTAACATAGCTATGGAACATCACCATTTATAATAAATCCATAAGTAGATCAACTACAAATGGGCCAAGTTCCATAGTTATGTTAGTTGACCAGAGGGTAATGGGATATTTTTCATGGGATTTTCCTCGGATTTCAACATGTTTCAAAGTTGATCATCTTAAAGTTGACGTGCTTTTTGCCCCCCCAAAAAACTTCAGATTTGCCTCCATGAGGCTGGGCGGTCCGATTTTTCCCCCTTGAAAAAGCAGATGTTGGAACTTTTAAGGGTTCGGAGAAGGCTTCAAGGATGGAAGTACTTGAACTTAGTCAATCGTCTTTTCAAATGAGGACTTTTGAAGACTGTTTTGTAAAGAAGGCTTCTTATGAACACAATGAATGACATTTGGACTGTCAGCCCGCACCCCTCTTCAGATATGTTGTATTTGTAAATTGAACCCATCCTCACACACACATATATATATATAATATTATACATGTAGTTCTCGTCATGTTTTGCTTGACCTGCTTGTTCAGAAGGTTCATCATTTGCAACCGTCCGGCACTTTGAGGGATGGGAGGGTTGGGAGAGGTTTGGAAGAAATGGGGGAGCAAACCGCCAAAGCAAACCCCACAGTGACCCCAGACAAAAGAAAGTAAGAAAAAGTGCCACTGATGCAGGGAGCGAAAGCAGAAATAAGCAGACCACAGTGGCACAGACCTCTGCTCTACCTAGAGATATACGTAGATGACCTTCACACATTGTACAATTTTTGTTCTCTTTCCTGAGTATCTTTTTTCTCATTCATCTTCTCCTTGTTAGTCTCATTCATTCTTTCCCTTCTTGCTTTCTTTTCTTTTTTTAAAATATTTTCTGCTTCATAGGTTATAATTTTGCTATAGTTATGTTGTAAAGTTTTATTGGTTTTAGTTGCGATTAGGGTTATGAAAAAGAAATGTGTCATCGAAGTATTGTCTTATTCTTTTCTATTCATTAGTGTTGTTCTCTTCTCTCTGTTGCTTTGGTCGCTTGGGGTTGTCAGGATTGTTGAGGTTGTCATGGTTTCACTTCTGTTTTGCCGACCGGCCGCGTTGCGTTGTCTTCATCGTCTACTTCTTTGGTGCTTTTGCCGGGGCACTCAGATGATTGAGTCAGAGCATTGCAAAGCAACTCTCAGAACACGATCAGCATGCACCAACTGCTTCTTCATTTCTCATCAAGAGAAAACAGGTAGACAACGTAGTGTGCCACCGTGGGTGTTCGCATCCTTCCTAGCAATGCCGGATGGCGTAGGTGGTGGATGTCTAGCTCACTCCAATACCTCCAATGTTCCCATTGACCTGAATTCCTCCGACTTCTCTGCATGGATTGCGTCACAAGAGTGCACTGACAGTCTTGCAGAAGCCTTGGAGATGGCCAACTCCAGGATCCGTGAGTACGTCAAGAAGAAGTTGGACTTGGAGAAGGCTCTCAAGGAGCGAGGAGCGAAAAAGGAACACCATGAGGAAGAGCAGGTCACCCAGGAAGGGGAGAGCCCAGAGAGCCCGAAGAAAGGAGTGGGCGAGAACATTCGGAGCATTATCCAGCAAATTGAGCAGGGCACGATTGATGGGATACAACTCAGTTTCAAAAACATTACGCTGGGTGAAGCAAAGGCCTTGGCTGAGGCAATGGTGGCAAATGCGAAGAAAAGCACCATCAAGACGATCGAGCTCTATGGCAACGAGTTCGGGAATGAGGGGGTTATGGCATTCTCCGAAGTCATCGCCAATGAGAACTGCGCTGTGGAGAAGCTCAATCTAGGCAGCTGTGACATGACAGACCTCGGAGCTTCTGCACTTGCTGAAGCTTTGAAGAAGAACGAGACAGTGAGAGACTTAAACATTGGTAGCAATGAAGGCATCACAGCTCAAGGCATCGGAGCCATAGCCGAAGCTTTGGGGACCAATTCCTGCATCACCAAGCTCCGGGTGAGAACTGGTGTGCTGGATCGTGATGGGGCTTCACTTCTAGCCCAAGCCTTAAGGACGAACACGGCTCTCAAAGATATCGACATGAGTTTCAACGAGATGATGGGGACGGGCGCTGCAGAAATTGCACGTGCGTTGAAGGAGAACAGATCATTAGAAGTCGTTGACCTCTCATATTGTGACATCAATGATGACACCGTGAATGAGACTGCCTTGGCATTGCAAGAGAACAAGGAGACAGCTTTGTGGAGCATCTGTTTGGATGGCAACAACAACATCACAGACGCCGGGGCTGAAAGGCTTGTTCAAGCTTTGAACGAAAGCAACAATCAGACGGTCAGGGAAGTTAGCCTTGCTAACTGCAGTGTGTCATCCTGCAGTGACAAGCGTGTCAGAGTTTAACCACAGTTCGGCTGGCATAGTTCCCGCAGCGGCAGTGTTGAGAGTTGCCTGAGATGCTCCGAGACGGGCTGCACTACATGGCTCTAGACCAGCCCTTCAATCAGCCCTTCACTTGTTTTGATTCGAACAATGAACACTCATGTCATGATGCTGTGTTTCAATGTGCGTTACTTTCCTGTTGCCAATTGTGAAGGGCATGACTTTCTTTTTGCTGTATAGAGTGAACTTGGCACGGCGGGCCGGCGGGGCAGTCCGCGCAGTGTGAAGATTGCCACACTGAAGACCCGACTTCTGGGTTCCGTTGCGGCTCACGTGCCGGGCAATTTGCTACCTCTCGCCTGAAGGGCTGAGAAAAGAAACGCTGCCCAGTCATGTCATTTGCAACTCCATTTTGAGATTTGCTTTGTGCCATGGATGCAAACAAAGTGTTGTGCCTAGGCGTTTGCCAGTCATGTGGATAGTTTAGTCCAAGTCATTACCGATGCCTTGAACCAGAGGGTCATTGATGTTGAATACCCCACTGAACTTGTAGAGACATCCCTGAATGAGTACGTATCCCAAGGGTGAGTGGATGACGGGCACCCCGAAGAGTAATCCAATCCCGATCCTTCACCCCGACTGCCCTTGATCTTGACATTTGTTTTGTCATTTTTGCCTGCATTGAGGTTAAGATATCACTGATGAGTATGCCAATGAGGAGATGTTGGAACTTTGAAGGGTTCGGAGAAGGATGGAAGTGCTTGGACTTAGTCAATCCTGTTTTCAAATGAGGACTTTTGAAGACTGTTTTGTAAAGAAGGCTTCTTATGAACACAATGAATGACATTTGGACTGTCAATCCGCGCCCCTCTTCAGATATGTTATATTGATTTATATTGTACTCGTTTATTGAACCCATCCACATATATATATATATATATTATACATGTAGTAGTTATTGTCATGCTTTGCTTGACCTGCTTGTTCAGAAGGTTCATCATTTGAAACCGTCTGGTACTTTGAGGGATGGGAGGGTTGGGAGAGGTTTGGGGGAGCGATGCTCATCGCCAGTTGTCTTGGTCTTGCCGCATTGAAACATTTTTGTGGGTCTATCCTGGGGAACCCATGCTGGAGCGAAAACGACGCCATCGACACCAGGGACCGAGTTCGCTGCCTCTCTTTGTTCGACAGTCGCTTTGAGTTCTTGGCACTTTTGCCAGACGAGCGAGTTCAGGACTGATCAAAGAACCATCCCAAATTCGACCATTTTTATAGGTGGGATTGAAACCATCAATTTCTATGGGCGGTTTGTGACATTGTTTTTTTTGCATTAAAATGAAGACGTTCAAAATCCTTCAAGGTGTCACTGTGGCCCCTTCTGTTGTCTTAATATGAATTATATGAATGAATGTGGTTCTTTTTTAAACGTGTTCCACTCTCCATCCAACATGAGCAAGATTGAGTGAGCAAGCGCAGCCGACAAATTGATGGCTTTTCAGTCCCATTTTTTCAGATCCAGTATTTTTCACTTCATCTCTGTCTCATTTTGGAACAAGCTGACAATGGATTGGTTTTGTTGGGAAAATTGAAAGCCCCGTGACTTTCATGGGAAAATCCGATGGTTTCCGGTTCCGATTTTCCCAACAAAACCAATCCATTGATACCTGACATACTGATAGGATGAAGATCAAGAAGATCCTGGTGTAGAGAGTCAAAGTAGCACTCCGTCAACTCCGTCGCGCTTACAACTCCTACGTGCTGCAGCTGAAACAGCAGCAGCTGAGAAGGGACAAACTTCGATGTGGGCCTGGCAGGTCTCCAGATGTTTCGAGGTGGCGGGATGATCGGAAGGGCCGCGACCAAACAAAACACCACTGGACTGGAGCAACAAGGACCTAGAAATCGTTGGTTGGAGAGGTTTTTATAGAACACCTACAGCATTGGTAACTGTAACTTAGTTGTGTACTACCCAAATCTATCCTATTTGGGGTTGAGTATACATACATGTATAGATATATATCATTATTGTCATTATTATTATTGTTATTTATTATATATATATAAACTACCTTAGCTTATATGTATATATAACATTATATAACTACAATATATGACTTACCCTCTTGCTATTTGTTACATAGCCATGGTATAGATGGCCCATTGATAGATGGTTTACCTATTAAAAATGGTGGATCTTTCCATGGCAAACTGTTAGTCATAACCAGATGGTGAATTTCCATTTTTTATGTTTCCATTCAGTTGGGAATGTCACCATCCCAACTGACTTTCATATTTTTCAGAGGGGTTCTCAACCACCAACCAGATGTATATATATATATACCCTCTGGTAAACTAACATAGCTACGGAAAATCACAATTTTCAATGGGAAAATCCACTATTTCTATGGCCATGAATTCAATAGCAAACTGTAACAAATTACCGGAGGGTATTATGAGACTTTTCATGTTGATATATGATGATATATGCTGATTAGTTGAAACTGAATGGTTGGTTGATACCCTCTAGTCATCAAACGTGGCTGTCTCGACTGAAACTGCAGTGTGAAGGACAACCAGCCCCAGACCTGAACACCTGAATTTTGAGGTAAAAATAAACACCCCCGAAAATTCAAATGAAACCCCACCAGGACCATATCCAATCGTCTATAGGACCCCATGTTTCAGGTTCCAGTCTTAAATTAACCCTTCGCCATCTTCGTGGTTTCTTCATTTTTTCGACCAAAAAAAAGGTGGCGGTGATTTGCACGGTCGCCTTCCCGGTCTTCGTGGCCTCGGTGGTGGAAGTGAAAATCACGGCGCTGCCCATGGTGCTGCCGTTACAAGGCGCGCGCCTGTGTCATGGGGATTCCATGGGGGGATCCCGTGGATTTTTTTGTTGGTGAACAAGATTCAAACATATTTAGACAATGGGAATTTTATGGTTCATGTTTTTTTTTTTTTAAATGTGGTTGAACAATGGCAATTTTGTGAAATTTTTATGGTTCATGCATGTTTTTTTTTGGTTGTGGTGAAGAATGTGGTCATTTGATGGTTTTATTGCATGTTTTCATGCTTCATTGTGGTTAATAAATCACCAACCAGGAAGGTACAAGAGGTGTTTTCTCCTTTGAAACAAGTTGGATTTCAATGGCTATGATGATAAGTATCATAAGTTGAGATATGAAGCCCCCAGGGACTATAGTAATACAGTTAGACGTATAGTTAGTTCTATATTTATATAGTTATATATGGCTATATATGGTCACACACACACACATATATATATATGGCTATATATGGTCACATATATATATATATAGTTATTGATAGCTACATCTGCACGCAAAGTATGATGGACCGGCACCCAGTTTCAAACTGCCGGAGGCTCTATGGTGCGACGTGTCTTGCCAGAAGAAGTGGAGCTCTGCCCGCACACAGCAGCCGTGGCGGGTCACTTGGAAGTCGCGACCCACCCGGGGCTCAGTGGGGACTGGCCGATGGCGCCTGAGAATCCACCAGTGATGGGTACAGTAGCCTCTGGTTATGACATTCGCAGTTTGCCATGTAAAGATCCACCATGCTATTAAGAAGGGTAAACCGGTTATGACATTCACAGTTTGCCATATAAAAAGATCCACCATTTTTCAGTTCGGTAAACCGGTTATGACTAACATAGCCATATAGAAAATCACCATTTTTAATAGGTAAACCACCATTTTTCAGTTCGGTAAACCATCTATTTCTATGGGGCCATGGCTTTTTTCCATGGCTTAACCAGAGGGGAACCCCCACAGTCCGCAGAGGGGGCAATGGAAAAAATCCCCATGGAAAATCCACCATTTTTTGGTTGATGTTCCCATGAAGGAACTCTATTTCTATAGGGAATTTAAGATGAAATAGACTTGGAAATTCACATGGAATGGAAATTCACCATTTCTAAGTCTATATGGCAAATGGAATTTCTGTGAATTTGCTATGTTTGATGACCGGAGGGTCACCACGGAAATTCATGATCATGGTTAGTAGGTAAATCATCTATAAACGGGCCATTTTCAATAACTATGTTGGTTTTACAAGAAGGAACCCCCTTCAAGTAAAAAACCATGGGAGAATCCAGTATTTGATAATTCCGCAATGGATAATGTTAGTGGATTTTCTCCTCTACCATGTCTACTAGAAGGTATTGGCGGTTTGCAGAACTGAGGATTGTCTAGATTTGCACCTTGCCATTCTTTTAGAATAATCTCAAAAAGGGAAGCAAGTGATGGATACTCATGCTGGACAAACTTGGATGTGCTAAGATCAGGGCTTCCAAGATCTTCTCCAAGCACTGAAACCAGAACGTTTCATGACCTTTTTTCGAAGATGGCCCCACTTTCTGTCTCAGGGTGGGCCTTCCAGTGGTGGAACATGGCAAAAAAACACGATTTGGCAATGTCAGTGGGAATTTCAGGATCCTAAAATGGAAGTACCTACCATATATATCCATATATTTTTGGCCTATTTTTCAGGCCTAAATTTCAGGGGATATCCCCCCAATTCATACGGCCAAACATATGGTACTAAGACTAACGTACCTCCAATAAATCGGATCCTGGAGATCTCCCATTGTAATGATGAATGATATATATGATATATATATATATGATCAAAAACATTGTTATTATACTCATATTTTGATGATGGTGATATATTATGGTTCTACAATGGTTCTATAACATTGGCAATGGGACACTCCGAATCCTCCGGATCCCAAGGTATGTTGGACTCGGTTGCGAAGCAACTCTGTAGTCGCCTGGGGCTGGCACCTCCCACGTGCCTTGGAGTCCTACAAAGCGGCGGTTTTTTGGGCCAGGGAATGTATAGAGATGCGGAGGGGCGTAAGGAATTGGAAGGATGGATCTTCAATAGTTCCTGCTTCAAGATTTCTTTGGAAAGGACTCCTCTTTCGGGGTTCTTGTATTCTTTGAACAGATCTTTCATTCTTTTCCCACAGTTGTTAATTTAATCCCTGCCTCGAAGGGGCGACGCGTCAAAAGCTGACCCAGTCTGTTGTTTTTGGGTATCAATTGGTCCAAATCAAGTCAACTTTGCTGGGTCTTAAGGCCATTGATTACATGCGCGAACTTCTTCTGTGTACATACATATACACACACACATATATATATATATATATATGCTCACCGTGGGGGGGCGCTGACCATATATGTATATATATATATAATATACATACATACATACATACATACATACAGATTTGGGTTGGTTGGTCATGTTATTTGTGTCACATCCTGGGCCAAAAACTTGGCAGCACCGCAACCTCTAAGCGTTCACCGCGCCACCATCGTTTGAGGTCCGACGTGGTGGTTGGATCCCTGAAGAAGGGTTGAGGCACCGTGCCCTGAAGATCGGGGCGCGACCGGTGTCCGCATGAAGCGCGGGGGGAAAAACCTGCGGCCGGCGGGGGGTGTCTTCGTGCGGGAACTGAAACCAGTTAAGTACGAATTATCTCATACACATCTTCAATGGATGAGGATGATGATGATGATGAGGATGAGGATGGGGAGGAGGATGATGTTGTTTCGGTGCGACTATTTTTGGTTTTAGGATGTGTTGACATATTGGGGGATACGTGCCAGTGGATCCACATATGGCCAATCGTTGCCTGCAACTCACCTTGACAGTGCGCCCTGCTTGCAGGGTTGGTTACAAGGCTGACACCTTGATATGACCCCCCATAATATTTAAACTAGTGTGCTACACCCAATGCCATAGTCACCCCAAGTCATCACCATCCACATTAAATATGGGTGGGGTAGAATATAAACATATATATAATTATATATATATAGTCTATATAGTTATATATATATACTATATATATATAAACCATCTCCAAGTTTTGGTAACTTTATGGCAACACATGGGGTTTCCATATGATGTTTCCCACATTCCGATTTGGAGGTTGAGATCAGTTGATCCATAGTGAGGCCTCTGGAAGCGTCTTTGCGCTACCTGATCCCAAGCACGGGAGCCAGGCAGGGACCAAAGAGATTGGCAGTCGGTGGGGCCGTGGACTTACCCTCTGGTAATGACTAACATAGCTATTGAAAATGGCCATTTATAGTGGATTTTCCCATTAAAACTGGTGATTTTCCATAGTTATGGCACAGTTTACCAGAGGGTATGAGATTCTTGTAGCAGACTGGAGTAGTTCAAAAGAATTCTTTGGTCATTTTCTGTTTTTTTTCCCCTCTTTGAGTCCAAAGATCCTTCTTCATCACTGAATAAATGCATCAATAAACGACTTCCAAGCCTTGGAAGTGATGGGTCATGTAGATGATGAAGCCTGAAGTGCGCCCGTTCCCACCATAGTTGGGAGGCGGTTGAAAGGGAGGGGCCATCCTCAGTTGGCTCAAGTGGACATGCCCAAAAAGGAATCTCCAAATAGATGCGCAGTGTTTTTTTCTCCAGGATGCCGTAGATGATATAATATACCGTGTATATATATATATATGTAGTACATGTATTATATCCATATATGTATATATATATCACCCTTACTTGAGATTTCCAACTTTTTTTGTCAATCTTTTCCGGGACTGCTCAAGATAAATACAACATTACACCCATGACGTGCGAACGGAGTATGTCCGTGGAGTGCTTTGGCTGCACAATTGAGGGTGTTTTCAGCTGCTGAAAGATGTCTGGTTGGGAATGCAATGCCTTTCAAAAAAAAAACGGGGATCTGATGTCTACTGGCTATGTTTTTTCAAAAAAAAAACCGGAGATTTTGATCCCCGTTCTGTGTGCCTTCTGCAGTACTTTCCAACCACACCATTTCCGGAGTTCAGCACAGATGGCCCCAATGAGGGCGTCGAAGATCCCAGAGGGCGGCCTTTCTATCCAGTTATACATGGGTGCTTTTTAGCCCATGAAGATCCATGAGATATATCCATACATTTATATCAATGGATAATATCCATAATATCCATAATATCCCATATATCCATATATAACTAATCAAATATATCATGATATATCCATAATTATCCATATATGATATATCTAGCATAAGTTCAACATATTGGAGTTCTGTTCACCCTATCCCGGCACCACGTTGGTGACTGGAGTCCTGAGATGTCCTGAGGCATAGGGAAGAGATCAGCGACGTCTTGCAGTTTGGGACCAAGTCGATTGGAGTCTTGGGCAGTGTGGCCGTGTTGTTGAACAACATCCTTGGGCCCCTTGGTTTCAAGGGGAGGAGCCGGTCGGGGGCCGATGCCCAAAAAAGATGCCAAAAAAGGATGAACCATGGAGATGGATGGATGGAAATCTGGCATCAATTCCCAGCGATGGTCTGAACGGATGGGGATTTTGTTGAGAGACAGCATTTTTTTTGGGTGTTCCGGATACATCCGGATCCATGCTTGGGAAAACATATCTTTTTTTCCAACATGAACATGGAATTTTCTATAGATCAACTCCCAAGTTCGGGCTTTCATCATGGCTCCAGCAGCCAGCAGCCCATCCATCAGCACCGCACTGAGGCCAGGGATCGCGAACTTTTCGGGGGTCTACCAGGAAAGTGGATGGCTGCCACCCACCCTGACGGTCCTGCTGTGTGTGGTCTCCAGCATTGCCAGTGGAGCTCCTCGATGGCGTTAGCGGCGATGCTGCTGATTGAACGGTTACGCCTCCCAGGTTACGCTCCCCCAAAAAGATGAAGAATTTGAGATGGAGATCCAACACTAAACCAGGCTTTCGTTTTGGGGTGTTTCATCTTAGTACTGGGATTTTTACTGGGCATGGAATAAAACAAACTACGAATCATCCAGCGATCACTATGGGACCACTATGGGATCCTTGGGATATCCTGGGCTCAGGACATGCTTTTGGCAGTGATGCGCGCGTATCCGGGGAACGATTCCTTCATGCTGCGCGTGGAGTATGGCACCCTCTGCCGGCAATACTTCGGCAAGCGCGTGGCCATCTTCTGCCAAGGCCAGGGGTTGGAGGGCCCCAGATGTGCCGGTAAAGAGACCAGGCAAGGGACAACATCTGCGCCGTGGCGATGGTAAACCCCTTTATAGATGATTTTCCCATGAAAAGCTCGATTTGCAATTGGGCATGTGAAAAATTGCCATGTTTGATCTACAGTGTAGGTGTACATCTTGAATAATTAGGAAAGTCAACATCTTCTACAAATAGAGGCCTTTTCCGTTGCCTCATGAGATTTCCAAAGGCCGCCCTGTGACGAGGCTTGTTTCAGCTGGCCATGCTCTGTGCCAACATCAGCAACATCATCCAAACAGCTCAGGTGGGGCTTTGGCTGAACGTTTTTTTCAGCTTCCACCCATGTCACCCAGTGGGCAAAAAACAGATCAATCACTGGCAAGTATACCTTGATGTTCCCTGAAAAGGATGAAAAGGCCGGTGTTTCAGCATATGTTCAGCCATCATGCTGTGGATGGTTGCGAAATCCTGCATCATCTTGGGTGGTTGAAATCCCTACCAATCATGGGATGTTTACCACCGTTTTCAACTGTTGATTCGGATTTCGCAACCATCCATAGCTCCTCCAGCTCCAGGTGCTGGACTATTTTGTGGCCAGTCTGAACCACGAGAAGTCCTGTGCTCTGATGTTCTACCCGCACTTCGAAGGCTTTTGCCACAGATCCTCCACGGATGCTTGAAATTTGCGGTGATTGTTGCAATGGAACGTCCCAACAGAACTTGGGGGATCTACGAAATATGGGTTCTATCTTTGGGTTTTAGATCCCCAGTAGAAAGTTGCTATAGACATATTATATATACCCTCTGGTTATTTAACATAGCCATGGAAGCCATGGTCCATAGAAATAGATGGTTTACCTATTAAAAATGATGATTTTCCATGGCTATGTTAAATATCCAGATGGTAAATATTGGGAACCATATAGAGTTTGGACTATAATATGATTTCCAGGAGTGGTTCCCAAATCAGCCAATCCTTTAAGATCCTTTAAGGACGTGACGCCCTTCGGCACGGGCAAGATCGTGTTGTCCATCGGCATGGGAATTGTAGCGTTGCTGTCCATACCCCTGGGCTATTGGAACTTGGATGACAACATCATCGTGCAGAACGTGGCGCTGATGGTCATCATTCTTTCGCTGGGAGCTCAGGGTTTGAAGGTCTGGAAGATCATGCATCCATTCGTATCCAACAAATGAAGGGCAGAGGTCTTCCCACGTCCCAGCTGAAACAGCCTTAACTTTAGTGGACAACTACTAGTTGAAACGGCATGAAACAACTATGGCAGCTATGGAACATGAGAACTGCTCTGAGAGCTCATTTCCCATTTTTCAGATGTGAGCCACTTCGGAATGACCACAGCCGAGGATCATCGCCTGGCTAGGCATTTTTGGCGTTTTGGGACTGGAAAGTGAGCGCGTTCCGGCGATTGGTTCGTCGCTGCACAACATGGGTGGCACCATTCTCTTCAACTTCATGCGCCCTGGAGTTTCCGTATATTATGTGGTCTCGATGTGCAATGAAAGCTGGAAAAAATCATAAATTGGATCTAGATTCGCCTTCTTGAACCACTCGGGGCGAATGTATCAACAACCTATTTATGTGAATTTTATGTGTATAGCTTCTCTCTATTTCTTTCCCAGTTTTCCATGTTTTGAAGCATCGAAGAGTGCAACTGGATGCAGCTGGCAGCTTCCCCAGGTTCATCTCCACCATTCCATCCTGGATCTGTGAGAAGAAACCCACGGTCACCTGGCCTGCAGTGGGTTGAGTCTGAGTCGCCATATCCTTCAGAAGTCAACGTTGAACCCCGGAGATTCCTGGTGGGAGATGAACATCCCAATGCACCTCACGAGTTGTATCCCTGTGGTGGTATCATTCCCAGTGCCACGGGTTTCTAAGTCTCGGCTCCTATAGATTCCGGAAGACATTTCAATTTAGATAGGTGACATAGTTTTTTACATAATAATATGTGTATATATATATATGTATTATATACATTTGGCATTTTATTTACTAGTTGCACACCTGAAGTTCAGATGAAGCCCGAAGCCCAGAGACCCGTGGCATTCCCAAAATCCAAAGCATCCGAAACCAGCTCTGAACATCTAGCTGGCCAAGGTGCGCCCTTTGGTTGTGATCATCTTCACCTTAGCCCTGGCCATTGCTGGCTGCCAAGCTATATGAGTTGTACTGATCGTGGGGTCTGGCGATGGCAGGCGTGGTTCTCACGGACAGAAAGGCATTCCTGTTTGAGATGAACGACTCACCCCAACATCCATCACGAATTCTGGCATGGGTTGAAAGATACTGAAACCACCACAATCATGTAGCTATATATCTATATATATATATACATATGACAAATCAATACAAATTGTAGTTTTGACCTCCCTCTTATACCTCAGGATCTGCCCCCTTTAAGGTTTAAGGGGGGCAGGTTATGGTCCATTATGGTAGGCCCAAACCTCTCAGGCTATGTCTCCGTGGGCATCTTGGGCGGCATGGCCTTCGAACCGTACTTCAACAGCGACAACACCCTGCTCTCGGAGCTCAATCACATCACGGCGCAGGAGCCGACGGTGCAAAGGTTGCGGTTGCTGGCGCTGGTTCAAAGGCAGTTGGTTTTGGTGCCAGTTGGCCATTGGATCCTTCTTGGTATGATGCTTTTTAGGGTTGTTTTTCAGGAAAAAGTCCTGAACTTCGGTTCTCTGGCAGATGCCCATCGCTATGCTGTTGAATTTGATTTGAACAATTTGAACTTGACCCTCGTCCTTCTTAACATGGTGAATGTTTCTGAAAGACATGGGCAGAACCTTAGATGACTCTAACAAGGCGGGGGCTTTTGGTCATGGCCATGGAAAGGATGCGAGTCGGTCTGTGAGGATGACTGTTTCCTGGCTGCAGATCTGTCACGGTCTGTTGACCAAAGCTAAGTTGTCGGATTTTGATAGCCGAAGGTCACCAGATGGAGAGGGTAATGTCTCTCCCAGCACAAGCGAAAACAGTGATTATTGTCCGATTCCTTGCAAAACACAATGCACGGCAGACATTCACAACCTTTTACAACCTTTACATTGTGCATGCATGCTGCATATATGTATCTCGTCAACTTGGCTGATGTCTCAAGTTTTGATTATTCCCAGGGTAGTCAGTAACTGAGGAGCCGTAGCGAGCCGTAGCCCATGCCTGTGCCATCCAGAGACGCTCTTGTGGCTGAGGCCTTTGTTAGTGTCCAGGCCTATGCAATCTCTGCCAACTTGGCGTCCATCCCGTGACATGGCTGAGATCTTACTTCTTGCAGGGCACAGACACCAGGGCACCATGCGTTTGACCCATGGCCATGATTTCAGGTGCCATGTTCGAGCACGGCTGGCTATGTTGCTGTGGAGACACACTCACGCCTGAAGTAGGAAAAAAGAGTTTGAACGGACAACCAATACTTGCCAAAGCAATCCACCTGACTATGTAGCAGCAGCTACTTTTTGCCTTAAGCCCTCTGCTGTCACAAGCCTGTCAAGCAAAGAATCGCCTAGATTGTAATGACATTCGCACTTTTTTGTGCGGTTTGTTGTCACCATTGCCCCACACCAAACGCCTTATGGCTTGCCCATCAGGATCTTTTCCATCCTCATGCGATACAACCTCATCGACAGTGGTGTGATGGGCCCTAAGGCAAGGATCCAACTAAGACAGTGGTGGGATGACTGACATTGATAAATTATGAGTTAATGAGAGTATGATGATGCACTTGCCAGCTTACACCACAACTCCACTAGCACATCCTTTGTCTGACTTCTCAGTTTGCATGGTGTGATTATGGCAGAGTTGGCCAGGCTCACTGTTCTTGCCTTTCCCAGCGGTCGAAATGTTCAATGAATCGTTTGCATTCGTTTGCTGTATGGTTCAAGCTGGCCTTGCAAGCTGATCTTCCATTGCTAGACATCTAGAGTCTAGACCACTAACTTGCAGAAGCCAGACCATGATGACTCTTCGTCCTGCCCTCCTGCGGTGCGCGGTTGGTAGCCTCCGCACCGCACCAAAAGTCCAGCCGAACATGGGCGCAGCCGGGGTCTTGGGATCCAAGCGCTTCCTGTTTGGATTCGGAGGGAGCCCGGTCCAGAAACAGGAGATGGAAAAAGAAACAAAGGAAAAGATCTCCAGCATCCAGGAGCAGCTAGGAGATCGTCGGGCGGAGATGCTAGTGGATTTCTCTAAGGCTGCTCCCAGTTTGGGAAACATGTCACACCACCACCTTGCGAATGCCATTGATACGCACGAGGACTTTCGCAACCCGGAAAGCCTTCACCACAAAGTGTCAGATGGTGTGCTGTACTTGAATCATTCGGCACCAGGAGACCGTTGGCAGGTGCGCCTAACGACATTCTCCTCCTTGCCTCTTTGTGAGCAAGATGCGTTGAAAGCAGCAGTTCGCGGCCAGATAGAGAAACAGAAAGAGCTATTCCCCCAGAGGAGCATTGTCAAGGCAGCCAGCGACAAGCATTTTCTCACCTGCCTGGGTGAGATGGAAGACGTGATGAATGGGATTGACGGCGTGCGCTCGCAGAAGGCAAAGAAGGTAGCGGCAGAAGATGCTGCAGTGGAAGTTTGCCAGCATTTTTATGTTTTTTTCCAGGACTTGGAAAACCAAGGAGTTGATGTCAAAAATGTTTTGAAAGATCCATGGAAGCCGCTGAACCTCTTGAAGGCAGCCGCGTGGCATGCCCGTTTGGATCAGTTGGCGAGCCTCAAGGAAACCGATGAAATCGTAATACTAGGACCAAATGAGCAATTCCTGGTCATGCTTGAAGCTTATCACTTCTATAAGAATCAGACACACTTGAAGCAAATCGGTGCATGACGGCATGGCCTAGTGCCAGTTCCATTCACTCCCTTTGAACTACGGAGTGAGACTTTTCAACAGCCATTCCGCCCAACCAACGCCGGCCGCGCGGAAAAAGATCCCCACACATCATGTGCTGCCAGCAGCAGTCCTGGCGACTCCTGTTGGCCAGGCCGCAGGTGCCGTGTCTGTCCTGGTGCCGTTTGGCGTTTCGGTGATTTTGTACACCGGACAAGGCGGGTACAGGGGACATCCTGAAGTCGATAATTCCACCATGTGAGGTCCTCACTATAGCTGGTCGGTGGTTTGGAACATGAATTTTATGACTTTTTTATTTTTCCATATATTGGGAACAATAATCCCAACTGACGAACTCACTCCATCATTTTTCAGAGGGGTGGCGAAAAACCAACCACCAACCAGATAGGAGCTGAGCCATTTCCCTCACTGACCCCATGAGGCTTCAAGGATATCGTGGACTTCTCCGGTACTTTTACCTCGGCCTTTGTGAATCTGATGGTTCCCAGCCTCCTCTTCCTTGCAGCGTGCCTGGGCGGATGGGACCTTGGGACCTCGCTGCTTGGGGGCCAGAGGATGCCTCCTGCCTAGGCTGCGAGAGAAGGAGAAACGAGCCAGCTGAGAACTCAGAAACTGCCTGCATGGCCTGTGACACCCATGGTATGCATGTGACATCATTTGACATACCCTCTTGGTAAACTAAAACTAACATATATAACTATGGAAAATCACCATCTTTAATAGGTAAATCAACGAACTAAATGGCAATTTTCAATAGCAAACTGTTAAATTACCAAAGGGTAGTCACTTAGTCCAAACATGTGGGTTGGAGAGCGCTACAAGATGTGGTTTCCAGTATATAGTTCCCGCCTTTTTCATGCTTCAAGGTGAACCACTTGAACCAGGAGACCGAAATGTGCCTGGCTTGCATCTAGCACGATCCAATGTACCATGTCAGCAGATCCCCACCTTTCAGTCACCTTTATATTCTTATATCTCCACACATCCACCCAAAAAACTTAACAAAAGTCAACCTGAGTCAACCTTGTTGTTTTTGTTTTTTGCACTTCCAATTTTCAATTTTCGGTGTTCCATGCCCATCAGTCCCATTCAGTCCCCAATTTTGAAAGTTCCCTCAAGTCCCAAATAACTCCCATTTTTCATCCAAACTTCCCTGGCAGACGGTTAAGCACCCTCAAATCAATTAAACACTTCCCACTCAAAATTCCACAAATAACATCCCATCAACATCTCATTAAACATCTCAATTTCCCAAAAAACTCTTATGATTTCACACAGGATGGGGCCCCCAAGATAGCTAAGTTGCCTTATAAGTGGCTTTATGGTAGATATAACTATAGTTAATATTAGTTAATAGGGGTTATTTCATGGCTTATAAACCCACTAACATCACTGGGGGGCCCCATCCTGCATCCTTTTTTGCCATTCCCATAAGCATCACAGGTGCTCCAGGTGCGTCGCATGTGGTCCGCCAGCGGCTCCTTGGCCACCAGCAACCTGGGGCCCCAACGGCTCTGGCGCTGCATCGCCTGGGTACCTTGGCGATGGATGGGGGTTGGGGGGTGGCTAAAACATGGGAGAAATTTAGGGGAAATGCTAAGCCATAATATATATATATATATACACATATATTTGAATAATTACATATATATATATATTGTTGAGTGTTGGACTTTTATGATTTTTTTCGAAGCCCAAAGAAAGCATAGCCGTTCGTGTCGAATTCTTACCATTTGAAAAGTTTTGCGGGCCTTCATTTTGAAAATGAGCCTGCAACAGGCTACCACACTAGATGACATTTCCGGACAACGAGTTGAAATGGTCAATGGTCAGGGTGGAGGTTCCCACTGTGGTAGATATCAAAAGGTGACTTTGTAGACATTGGCAGCTTGGGGTGGGCAATGAAAATTGAAGAAATGTAAGCCAAAATCGGTTCATTTTTGGGCAGTTTTGGAGGAGGAAATTACTGCCGACTGCTCTTGAACAGATGACTGAAGATTCAGCAGGCTCAATTGTTTTCAGGATTCCAAGTGGCTGGAAGTGACCCATAGAAACACGTGCAAAGGATTTGCCTGGATGTATGACTGGGGAACCATGCAGAAAGATAATGAGATGGGAGTGTTGTGTTGCACCCATCCAGTTCACTGACTTCAAAGTTCAACAGGGCTTCAACATTGCTTTGGCGAGGTCAATCTTCTGCTTATGCTGTTGCTGACCACGGTCTCCATCGCTGATCAATATTCATCTTAGCTTTAATCACCGATCATTGCAGAGGTCGTTAAGACCGGTAAGACAGTGGCAGTGAAGACGTTGCGACTTGGGACCTTCCGGTCAATCCCTGGTACCCTACCAAAGACTTTCACAGTTCATTGAGCAGATGGTTAGATGTAAGTTGCGTGTATTTTTCTTCAAAACATGCAACAAATAACACAGGCACATACCCAAAATGTATTGCCTAGGTATAGTCGCAACAAATCTTTTAGATTTCTGACATCCCAACAGCTTCGCCATCGTTGGGTTATCCATGGTTATCGCGTATCCCAGACGGAAGGGGCCGCTTAAAGTGGCCACAGCCCTGTACAGCGATCCGAGTCAAAAGTGCCATCAGTTGGTCGGCAGAAAATGCCCCTGGGGACGGATGGTGGTGCTTCATGGCGCTTTTTTTGTGTGGCATCTGGAAGTGGATAAAGTGGAAAGGTTCGAAGAATTTCGATCCATAATCATGATAATTTGATATAATTTGCCTACTTAATAGTATTTAATAGTCTAATTGAGTCTAAGTCATTCTTTTTTTAAATGGGGTTTTGAATGGAACATGACGCAAATCACACAGAAAACATGCTGAACGTTCATCATCTCTGCTGCAGGATGCCTGGAAGAGTAGCCATTGGGGCGTTGGACGCCTCAGACGCCAACTTTGAAGGGTCCTTCTTGGCACAGAAGCGCTTATATTTGTCAATATCTTCCCCTATTTAAGACTCACTTGACCTACAAAAAAGATCAGCAAAATCAGGATTGTCCAAATTTTCTTGGCAGATTTCGCCCGTTTTTTTTAAAATGGATACCTCCTTTCACCCAAACCTTCCAAGACATCCTGCAAGGTGGTCTTGCAGTTGGGCTCCGGCTTGGCTTATGCCATGAAGCAGCAGGGCAGCAGTTGGTGGGATTCTGCTGCTGTTTGTTGCTTGGGACCCTACCAATCCTACCATTCGTTGCTTGAAACATACCCGGGAAACCATGGAAAAAAACAGCTGCGCAGACTTTTCGCAGAATGTGAAATCATCGAAGAATCCAGACTTTGAAACGTCAATGGAACATTCTGTAGCAATGACTCAGAAGCAGCTTGCAGTAGTTTTTGTGGATCCTTGTTGTATCTTGTTGTAGCGTTGTTCAAATTGGTCGCCAACGCGTAAAACATCACAGGTTTACGGCCCTCAAGCTCCTGCTCTGCGGAAATGAACAGCTGGGGCAGTCAGAAACCATTTTTGGTGGATCAACATGGGCTAGTTGGGGATGTCCAAGAATGGGGGCATGATGAGGTAAACCATGGTAAACCCAAAGATAAACCATCACCAGTCGGGCTTTATTGGGTGTCCCATGGTGCACCTTTCCTTATTTGGTTTGCGAATTTGGTTTGCGCGCCATTCTCACAGTTGACGCTCTTCCTGGGCCCAGAGGATGTGTGCTTGTTCCAAGCTTTAAGACTTTAGGACAACTACCTCAATTTTGAGCTAAGAATCCATGATAATCCATCATAATCCATCAGGTTATTTGAGGTGTCAAATCGGTCCTACTTTCAACATTTTTCAAGTACCATTGGGGTTCCCAATGGCAAAAAGAGGTTACCCTCTTGTTATTTAACATAGCCATGGAAAATGGCCCATAGAAATAGATGGTCTGCCTATTAAAAATGGTGATTTTCCATGGCTATGTTAGTCATAACCAGATGGTAACAAAACTTGGGGGAATGACTTGAAAGCTGTCAGGTCGCCACCATGGTAGCCCTCCCAGGTCGCCCAATGTGGAACAACGGGCGCCCTCCAAAGCGCACGTTGTGCTCTTCTGTAATCCAGCAGGGGCAGCCCAGGGGCCCTGGATCCCAAAACGTTGCTGGTGGTGATGTGTTTTCACAGTTGTATGGCTATAGGACTACTCCCATCACCCAAAAATATTAGACACCCAATTTATGGTCCCAATTATGTGGAAGATTCCCTACTAAACCATGGTTTCTAAGGGGGTGTTCAATGTGGGGGGGATGTTTTTGATGTGGTTAAAACAAGGTCATGTTTACCATCCCCCAGTCATCACAATTTCTATGGCTGGTTTTTGAAGCATCAAACACGGGATGGATGGCCAAGTCCACCCTTTGGAAAACTCAGAAACTGAGGGGATATCAATCCGTTGTTTATCATCGTTTAATGAGGTGGTTCCCATTTTTTGCATGAATGATCAACTGTTGCCAACTTTGGGGCAATACTTTTCTGAAGTACAGTACGCCTCAGACACATGTTAGCACGTGCTCCATATGCAGGCCAGAGCTGCTCCAGTCGCTTGAAACCATGTTTTTTTTCTTATGTTCTTATGTGTGTGCGGCAAAATGGAGCCAGAACTCTAAGATCACATGTTTTATTTTTGAATGAGTCATGAATCTTGAAACATTGAAACCCAGCGTTTGGAGATCACGAACTTGTGTCATTCTGTTCAGCTCTTTGGCTTGGAACAGTACAGCAGTGTGGGCCCATGGCTATGGCAAGCGTGGCAACCGCGGCAACCGCGGCAACCGCGGCATTAGTGATCGTGCTTCTTCAGTCGAAGCTGTGTGAAGCCTCATCGGAAAGCTCCCAGATCAAAGTCGCAGGATCCTCTACTGTTTACCCGGTGGCCCATGCCTGGGCAGAGGCCGAAAGTATGAATGCTTTTGACATTTCCATCCAGGGTGGTGGCTCCAGTTCGGGTGCCCGTCGGGTCTGTGCCCCTTCCTCAGACCCCAGTCATGTGGATATTGGAACAATGTCGCGCGACTGGAAGAGTAAGGAAGCTGTGCTCCTGGATGATGGATACACCTTTGAATGCAAAAGCAGCAAAGTTCGGGTGACACAGATCCAAGTAGGGGTGGATGGCTTAGCTGTGGTGGTGGCCAAAAACAGCAAAGCACATGACTGCTTGACCAATCCGAGTGTGGGTGGCGTGACTCTGGCGATGCTTCATTGGATGTTTACTAGTTGGAACAACACTCAGCTTGAGGCTTATGGAGTGAATTTGGCTTCCACCCTTCCAAATGACGATGGAGATGACGTCCGTGAGTGGAGCGATCTTTCCTCTGCATGTGAGGAGGTTCCCATCAATGCCTATGGACCTGGCTCGGAATCTGGTACCTTTGATTTCTTCGCAGAAGCGACCTTATGCAAGGACTGCTTTGCAGGGAAGGAAGGTCATGTTGCAGAAGACTTCAGCTATTGTTCCAGCAGCCAATTGCACATCTTGGAGGGCCTCAACGGCACCGGGATGGAGGATTACATCAAGAACCAGAGGCCCAAGAATTGCTACATGTCTTCGGAGTCGGACCTTCAATTAGTGCAATGGCTGCTTGCAGATGCAGGTGGCATTGCCTACTTTGGATATTCCTACTACACCGTTTTTGCAAGCCAGCTCACTGTGGTCCGAGTTGCTAGTGATCGGAATTTGGGTGTGGCAGATACAGCTGATGCGAAGGCAGGGCTGGCCACAGCATGCATGGGCGCAGCGGTAAGGAGTTTGCCGGAACCACCAAGTGTTGTACAGACAGTTTATAACATCACCATGACCATGGAATGCAGTGGAATCAAGCAAGACCGAGGCAGACCATTGAGTGAAGAATAAATACTGAAAGCATGGTTTCTTTATCATAGTAGATGACTTCAGGTCATTATGTTCATGTCCCATTTCATACATATCATATCATGTATATAATACATATAGTCATATAGTTTCCATTTTTCTGACTTTCTAAAGGAAGCACTGGTGGGCCGTTCATTTCGGAAGAACAGATGGGCACAACACGTCAGAAGTAGAGCCCATCTGCGCAGGTAGAGCCATCCATCTACACCATCACGGATGGCTCCTACAGCGTCTACAAGCGGAAGCTCTTCATGAATGTGGACAACAGCGCTTGGGATCGTGTTTATCCATACCTCAGCTATGGCTTCAATCAAGAAGGCCAGAGGAAGGCAGGCTGAGAAGTTGATGAAACATATGAAACCGCGGAAAAATGGCCACATGGACCATGTACAACGTGTAGATCAAAACATGGAATATACACATATTATAAACATAGACATACGACTGTCAAAGTATTGTCCTGATGGATTCTCATTCTATCATTCTTACCTCAAGAATCTTTGAAGATGTTGGTTTTCCATCGTCTCGCTTCCCCGAAGGTTGTAGATGTGGGCTATGTGCCCGTGAATGCGGCCCTCTTGGCCAAGATGCAGATTCGCATCGAGAAACGAGGCAATGAAGAGGCGGATTATGTATCTGGGCGGCTTTTTCTATGGTCTCAAAGTTCAGGACAAAAAATAACGAAAAACATGAAAAAACGGCGAAATTGCTGTTATTTACAGTGTTTTTGCGCGGTGAGAAGCAGAAACCACTGCAAATACCATGGTTTTTGAGGGTCAGGTGGCCAAAAACACTGTAATTCCCCACCTGCCAGGTGAGGGTTGTTAGATTTTATGTCAGTTGCCTCCTCCTCCTGCTCCTCCTGCTCCTCCTCCTCCTCCTGCTCCTCCTCCTCCTCCGCCTCCTCCTGCCTCGTCCTCCTCCTCCTCGTCCTCCTTGTCATCCTTGTCGTCCTTGCTCAACTGCGACCCGCGATCCACAGTGTTCTCTGCCGGACCTCAACCACGACCACCCACGCCCAGTGTTCCCTGCCGGACCTCAACCACGACCACCCACGCCCAGTGTTCCCTGCCGGACCTCAACCACGACCATCCGCGCCCAGTGTTCCCTGCCGGACCTCAACCACGACCATCCGCGCCCAGTGTTCCCTGCCGGACCTCAACCACGACCATCCGCGCCCAGTGTTCCCTGCCGGACCTCAACCGCGAGTATCCATGCCAACTGTTCCCTGACATATCTTCTGGCATATCTTCTGACATTTTATTTGGCATTCTATCTGGCATATCTTCTGGCATATCTTCTGGCATTCTATCTGGCATATCTTCTGGCATTCTATCTGGCATTCTATCTGGCATATCTTCTGGCATTCTATATGGCAGATCTTCTGGCATTATATCTGGCATATCTTCTGGCATCCTATCTGGCAAATCTTCTGGCATTCTATCTGGCATTCTATCTGGCATATCTTCTGGCTTTTTTTCTGACATATCTTCTGGCATTCTATCTGGCATATCTTCTGGCATTCTATCTGACATATCTTCTGACATTCTATCTGACATCTTTTCTGACATTCTATCTGGCATTCTATCTGGCATATCTTCTGGCATATCTTCTGGCATTCTTTCTGACATTCTATCTGACATCTTTTCTGACATTCTATCTGGCATTCTATCTGGCATATCTTCTGGCATTGTATATGGCAGATCTTCTGGCATTATATCTGGCATATCTTCTGGCATTCTATCTGGCATACCTTCTGGCATTCTATCTGGCATTCTATCTGGCATATCTTCTGGAATATCTTCTGGCATATCTATCTGGCATATCTTCTGGAATATCTTCTGCCATATCTATCTGGCATATCTTCTGGCATATGTTCTGGCATTCTACCTGGCAAATCTTTCCCTGCCGGACCTCATGTAGGAAGATATGGGACAAAGAATGTGCAGAAGAAAGTTAGAAAGAATTTCAGACAAGTATGTGATATATTACTTGCGAACTTGCAGGTGTGTGGTAGTGTGATCGGGGCAATGCCACTATTGACTTTGCGGGTGGCAAAGTTTGAAGCAATCAGTTTGAACAGATGACAGAGTCACTGGGGTGGACAGAGACATTTCCATTTCTGTACCTTTGGAGCTGTTTGCAAAGACGCTTGAGACAGGCAACATCTTACAGCAAGTTACTACAAATTACTTGAAGGGATCTCATGCTGGATTGATGCTTGAGACAGTCAACATCACACAGAGTTTCTATTGTGTATCACAGCTATGGTAGCATGGTGGATATGTGACATCGGAACATTTGCTGGAGCATTTGCGCCCTCATCTCCTCGATCGCGGGCCAGAGGCAGGATGGACATCATCATAGAAGCATTCAGCAGGAGGAGGTTATGTGATCAGTAGTGTCTTCTTGCGTGTTTTTGTTTGCTTGGCAGGTGATGGCACCTTTAAAAGTACATCATCCACTGACTTCATCGCAGCGTTCGCAAGCCATGACCTTTCATCGTCAAAAGCAAACCAAGTTTGTGCGCGACATGATTTCTGTGGGCCTTTTGCCCTTGACAGGGGATGAAGAAGCGTTGCATAGAACTGCGGCCTACAAGCGCGCGAGTGGCACTGCAGTGAATCCACGAGCAGAACAACTGAGGTTGAAAGAGAAAGTGCCCATGATCACGCAGCCGCTACTGGATGCTCAGCGCGCCGCCATGACAAATGATAGCATGGGCCTCAGCCGCTTGTCGGCGGACCGGGCTGCTACGAGCGACTGCGCAGAGCGCGCAGGAGAGTTGGCTGCAAACAGTGATGTCGCGATGCCAGAAGCAGAATGGCGCACCTTTAGCAAGCCATCTGCAGCGATGGCGCGGAAGGTTGCTGCGTTTGAAAAGTCTGCCGCTGGATTCAAGCTGGCGCCGGAGCAATTGTCTGCTTGCAGATGGTTTGGTGAGGCAATGGATGTCGCTTTACAGGAAGAAGAGAACAAAATACCTTTGCGAAAACGTGCGCAGCACGCATGCCTTTTGATTGGCGCCGGTGGCACTGGCAAGACGACAATCATTTTGGAGCTCATGCTGGATGTTTTTTGTCACTTTTTTCCAGCCAGGCCCGGAGAAGAAGAGCGATACATGATTGCCACCTTCAGCCATGCCCAATCGGATGCCATTTCCAATGATGTCTATCGCGCGCGAACATGTCATACTGCTTGCTCGTATCGTGTAGCCAGTTTGCGCAACAAGCATTTGGCCTTGAAGACAAAAGAGCAAGAGATGAAACAACGCTGGCAGCCGAAAATTTTAATCATTCAAGATGAAATCAGTTTGGTGCCAGCTGCAGTGGAAAACATGATGCTTTACCGCAGCATGCGCGCCCGTCAAGATGAAGGCCTTGATCCAGCCAGCTATTTCCACCCAGGAGAGATCATGGGACACATACCAATTTTGCTGATTGCAGGTGATTTTTTGCAGATCAAGCCTGCCAACGAGATCTCCTTAGCTGACAATCTCGAAGAGCTGATCCGCAAAATGCCGCACAGAGTGCAGACAGAACACCATGCTGCCCAGGCGGCATTGATGACCATTGATACAGTGATTCATTTGAAGAAGTCGAAGCGGTTTCTGGATGCTCACCTGCCAGAAATCACAACAGCCATGCGCACGTGCACGCCTGCTGCTCCCTTGTCCGAGAATCACTTGGCTCAGCTGCGCACTCGCAAAATCGAAAATTGCAAGAAAGAACTAACCACAGACTTGTTCAAGCATGGTCACGTCATTGGCATGTATTGGGAGAACATTGCTCGCAGCATGGTGGAACGGGCAAATCGAGATGCGCAAGACCTGGATGTGCCGTTATTTTGTTTGCAAGCTGCTGACCAAAGGCATTCCAGAAAAAATAAAACCATAGACAAGCAGCTGACGCATCAGCTGCTCACTGTTCCAAACCCGCATCGCACTGGCAAATTGCAAGGCATGCTACTGGTGCACGAGAACATGGTTGTGCGACTGGCGGATGTCTTGGCTCCACACCTTGGATTGGTTAAAGACAAACTGGCAGTGGTAGTGAAAGTGGATTTGCACCATGAAGATCAGAAGCGCCTGGACCGTCGTGAACCTGGATTCTGTCATTTTTTTCCGGACTACATGGCCAAAGGTATCTGGGTGAAATTACTTAAAGGAAAGAATTCGCCCATGGAAGATGCTCTGTTGCAGACGTGGGAAGAAAAGTTTCAGAATGTGGCCGATCACACAACTGACGCAAAGACATTGTTCTTTGTGGAATTGGTGCATGCAGAGTTCAAAATTGATTTGAAACTAGGCGAGGAAACGGAGAAAATTGAAGTGATTCGCTGGCAGTTCCCGCTTTTGCATGGCATGCTGCGCACTGCTTACAGCGCGCAAGGCTTGACTTTGGACGGAGGTGTGCTGGTTGATTTGCGTCGTGGTGGTGGCCTAGAGGATGCGGACTGGTGGCTAGCCATCTATGTCATGCTGACGCGTGCCCGCAAACTGAAGAATCTCATCTTGCTGGGGTTCACGGAGCAAGTGGAGGAGCTTTTACGCAAAGGCCCTCCTACCTACTTGCGAGAACTGACTGACAAGTTGGAAGCCAAAGCTGCTTCGACGCTGGAGCGGCTGCAGTCCTGGCCTGTCTATGATGCATTGCAAGCATCCTGACACAGTGCTCTGCCAGTGGGACCTAATCGGTTTTGATTGAAGAGGTCTGGTGGAGAAATAGAGAGTTGCAGCTGCAGCGATCTGATGAAGTAACACTGGCATGGTTTTGTCGAGTTTACACGTGAGCTTGCGAGCCTTTGACTTTGGTTCAGGGGTCCACTGGCTTGGTTCAGTCATGTTTGTACAAACATGTTTGACAGGCGGCGTGCTGACATGTTTGGGCATGTTTGTTTGTTTGGCTCAGGTGGTCCACTGCCCTGTTTGGTCATGTTTAAACAAACCTGTTGAGAGCTCTGGAGTTTACTTCACATGGTCCACTGACATGTTTATATCCTGTTTGACAGTCTGACCTGTACAATGACCTGCCAGGTGAAACAAATGATTGGGATAGTTAGTTGGGCAAAAGTCCCGTGACAAAAGCTTCAGACAAAAGTGCTGTCAACTAGCTGTTTTGAAATGTCATGGTGGGGATCACTCGAAGTAAAGTAATTTACAGTGTTTTTTTTAACCAACGTCAAAAAACACTGGTATTTACGATGTTTTCATTCACACCGTAAAACAGCGTAATTTACGAGGTTTTTGGAAGTTTTGAAGCTAGCCGTCAAGCATGCAGAAAACAGAAAAACACTGTAAAAACCAGTGTTTCTGCTATCACAAAACGACGAAAATCAGTCCGAAAACGGGTCCAAAAACTCAAAAATCCGCCTCCGGGCCAGGCCACCTGCGGAACCGCAAAAAAAGATGTTGCAAACCAAAAAATTGAGGTCAAAAAGTTGAAAAACACAGGGTTTTTTTCACTTTTCGCTTGCCGATTTTGGACGGGCGCGTTCACGAACAGGTGTCTTCCGTACTGTTTTTTACAGTGTTTTTTGAAGGCGAGCATCACGACCTATCAAAAACAGGAGGTTTTGGCCGAAAAATGCCTGTAACCCTTTACGAGTGCCATCCGGAAGATCACGCCCCAGCACCTTCGGTGCGGGCGGATTTTTTCCGATGGCTTGGTCGACCAAGGTATCCGTAGCGCCAAGCACTTGTCCTCCAGGGACTGAGCTCTCAGCTGAACCTTTCGTGAATCAGTTCGGAAACAGCAAGGTGAAGTACACTTGCACCTTGTGTCCGCCTGGGAAGTACAAATCTGTCAACACGCCCACGGAGTGTAGCGTCTGTGAAGCTGGGAAGTACACAGACCAAGCAGGAGAGTCAGAATGTCACTTCTGCGACCCGGGCTATGAAGCCTTTGAGGGAATCTCCTGTCGTGCTTGCCAACCAGGATCTTACAAGATGCTTGACATAAACCCCAAGATGGGGATGTTTTTGCGAACCCCAATCAGTAGTAGGCCACGCAGCAATTTCATTTTCGGACTTCCATTCATCTAATAAATAAACAAACAATAAATAAATATAACTAACTAACTAAATAAATATATATATATAATATCAAATCAGCTTGTTTTCTTCTTGGCACGTTGCCTTTTCGGCGAGATTCCCACAAAAAACAGGAGATGTCAATAAATTGAGATTCCATTCGGGCAAAGACGACGCGGTTTTTGAACATGTTTTACCCTCTGGTAATTTGTTACATAGCAATTGAAACCATGAGCCATAGAAATAGTTCTAGTTCACTGACCTATTAGTTTGGTGATTTCCATGTTTTTTTTTGTATGTTTACCAGAGGGAAACATCTACCCCATATGGAAAATCTTCCTCTTCCTGGGTTTTTTCCGATATTCAATGGGAAATTCAGGATCCTAAAATGGAGGTACTGTACCTCATATAAGGCCATATTTTGTGGGGATATTCCCTTACATAGGCCTTACATAGGCCTTATATATGGTAGGTACATCCAATTTAGGTTCCTGAAATGGCCATTGAGATATGTTTTCCACAGTTGTTTGGTGATGTGTCCTCCATCTCCACCAGGAAGGAGGTGGCCGCTGAGAGCTGTTCCCTGTGCGATCCCGGCACTTTCACCAATCAGTCAGCCCAATCTGATGCTGGGTGAAACATCCGGGGGATCTCCCCCATTTTCAGAGATTCCTTACATCAAATCAGTGGTGGAAAATGACGGGGAGAAAAGGTTAGGGAAGAGATTGTTTTTTTCATGTTTTTTTCTAGTGCTGGCCTGATATGTTGTCCTTGTAAATGCTTCATAATGCTTCTGCGCTTGTGTTGAAACATCTTGGGACACGTTGTTCAAGCACTGAGGACTGCTCCTTCTGCTTGCAGGGTTACTTTGCACCAGAGAACTCCACTGAGTGCACACCTTGTCCTTTGCTGCTTGATTTGATTCAGAGTCTCCAAAGAACATGAGACAACCAACGCATTTTACATGTGCATGGCTGACAAATTGACCATAAAACATACAATGTTTCCTCATATTTCCTCATATTTCCTCGGTGTCAGGAACGAAATGGCACCTTTGCCCAGAACAGGGCAATGTAGCCCTTGTGGTCCGGGCTTCATCACTCGACATGTGGCATCAACGAGTTGCTTCAGGTGCAAGGTGGGCACCTATCGCCTCAATGAAACGCAATGTGTCAAGTGTCCAGGTCGCAAGACGACAGCATACCAAGGTGCCGCGACGATTGAGGAATGTGTTTGTCCAGCAGAGACCTACTTGGCGGATGGCTTGCGGGATGAGATGGATCAGCATCTCCCATCTGGGAGCTGTGTGGATTGTGGCGAGGGATTGACCTGTGGCTTGGGCAGTGACATGCGACACTTTGAGGACTTCATGAAGGGAAAAGGACAGCATGGAGATGCAGAAGATGGAGAAGATCAGATGGATCAGTCATATCCGTTAGTCCAAGCTGGTTACTTTGCCAGGACTGGCGAACTCACTTCGGTCTTCAGATGCGGAGCAGTCATAGATTGCCCAGGTGGTTTGCCTGGCACTTGTGCTGCTGGAAGAACGGGAGCACTTTGCGGTCATTGCGAAGCAGGCTGGAAGACCAGCAGTGATGGTTGTGAGACTTGGATGATTTATCAATTTACCCTGGTAATTTAACAGGTTGCGGTTGAAGCCATGGCCCATTTAGTTCGTTAATTTACCTATTAAAGATGGTGATTTACCAGTTCGCAAATCGTTAGTTTACCATGCAGAGGGTATCGTCTATGGGAGGTCACGTTGCCAGGGCGCCGGCGTCGTGTTGATTCGAGATCGCGATTTGAATCAAGTCCGATTCCGAAACTTCCCCGGATTGCGCAACTACGGTTGCGCAACTCTTTCGCCGGATTGCGCAACTCCGATGGCGCAACTTGCAGGATTGCGCAACTCTGATTGCGCAACGGCTTTTGACAGATTGCGCGATTCCCAGGATTGTTCAACTCTGCTTGCGCAACTCCGGTCGCCGGATTGCGCAACTCTGCAGCTACAGTTCCCCCAAACAATTCCAACCCCCATGGAACTTCAAATTGACACGGGTTGTCCACAAGGGTAAGATGATATGAAAATTCCTTAAAATTCCCACCCCTATGGAGCTTCAAATTGACTTGGAATGTCGACAGTAGGATGACTAAGATGATATCAAAATTTCCACCCCATGGAACTTCAAATTGACTTGGGGTGTCGACAGTAAGATGATATCAAAATGCCCACCCCCGTGGAACTTCAAATTGACTTGGAATGTCGACAGCAAGATGATATCAAAGTTTCCACCCGCATTGAGCTCCAAATTGGCTTGGATTGTCGACAGTAAGATGATATCAAAATTCCCACCCCCATGGGACTTCAAATTGACGTGGAACGTCGGCAGTAAGATGATATCAAAATTTTCAAAAAAATGGAACTTCAAATCGAATTGGAATGTCCAGAAGGGTAAGATGGTATAAAATTCCTATCCCCACCCAACTTCAAATTGAGACGTAGTGTGCACAAAGGGTAAGATGATATCAAAATTCCCACCCCAGTGGAACTTCAAATTGACACGGGTTGTCCACAAGGGTAAGATGATATGAAAATTCCCACCCCCATGAAACTTCAAATTGACTTGGAATGTCGACAGTAAGGTGGTCCCCGATGGAACTTCAAATTGACCTGGAATGTTCACAAGGGCAGCATGATGAGTGGTAAGGAGTTTTAAACGTTGGATTGTGAAACTTGGAGGTCGGATTTTTGACACTCGGAACTTGGATTGAAACTTGGAGTTTCGAAGTTTCATGATCTGTCTTCAGGGTTTCGCAATACCAGTTTCACAATTCCCCCCAGAGTTTCGTAATCCGGTTGCAGAGTTTCACGGTCTCACTTCACAGTTTCACAAAACGAAGTTGAAGTTTGACAATACCAGTTTCACAGTCCGTCCTGCGAGTTTACAATCCAACCTCCAAGTTTCACAATCCAAGTTGCACAATCCGTCCTCCAAGTTTCACAATCCGTTCGCCGAGTTTCACAATCCGATGTTGGCCCAACGCAAGGAAAAACATTTGAGGATCAGATCTTTTTGAAAAAATTGGCAGGCAGGAGAAACGTATAACATGAAATAGTGATGGGCAACTATATGTTATCTATATATTATCGTTTTTTATGTGTATGATTGCTATTGTCATTTCGCATTTAATGACGTGTGTATATGTATATATATATATATATGTGTGTAAACATGTCAGTGTTCATTAGGGGAATCAATCAAGAAACGTGTCAAGTCAGGTGAATACGTGAAAAATCGGAAACGGATCAAGAGGAGAAACAGCAACTGCAGTTGCAACTGCGGAGCAGATGACCGGCACAGCCAGTTCTGAGTTTACAAGGTGGGTACCTACATCGCACTGACATGCATTGGTAAAACTGAGTGCCAACAAACTTTTTTGCCCACGATTACTAGTATATGTTCAATGAAATTCGCAGTTTCGCAATTGATTCTTTTTTAGACGGGGGCAGGCCAAGAGGAAGAACTTTGAGAAAAAACCTCTTCTAAGCATGTTTCAGCCCAAGTGCAAAGTTTCAGAGTTTTCTTTGTTTTTTGCGCCCAGGAACCTTGTGTTTTTTTGGACTTCTCGCTGTTCTCGACGACCTTTATGGTGATGATGCTCGCTGGAGTGCCATTCTTCTACTACTTCATGAATTCTCCAATGACCTCTAAGGCTTGGGATGGGCCCCGGTATATCAAGAGCAGCATGCAGCACATAGCAACACTGTGCCACCGCAAAACGAGTGTTTTCCATAAACGGTTTGAAGCGCATGGTCTTGAACCCTTTGTCGTGGAGACAACCACCCCCAAAACAGGTGACAAACTCGAGAAAGGAAGGGAACGACTTTGAAGAGAAGCGGGCCTTTAACAAAACCGCAGATGTTTTGAAGTTCTGAAACTAGCTGGCCATTGGTTCAAAGTTGAAAGTTGGTCCATGTGGATCCCAATTCACCCCAGCATTGGTTCGTAGATGAGAGATTTTCACGGGATGCATGTTTTTTGGACCTGGGCACCTTTTTTTGGACCTGTACATGTTTTTTGGACCTAACCAGATTTTTTTTGGGACCTAGGGTCACAAAAAATGCAGGGGACTTGCTTGTGCGTTTTCTGGACCCAGTGGGGATATTTTTTTTGGACCTGCATGTATTTGTGCTGGACCCAGGGGAATATTCACCCCGCTTCGCGTGGGGTGGCCGCCCACACCGCAGGTTTATTTCGGTCCGTGAGAGGGGCTAAGGGTGGTTTTCCCCCGTGGGGGCTCCCCAAGCTAAGAATTTTCACTTCCCCCCCCCGTGGGGGCTCCCCAAGCTAGGGAATTTTCACTTTTCCCCCCCGTGGGGGCTCCCCAAGCTAGGGAATTTTCACTTTTCCCCCCCGTGGGGGCTCCCCAAGCTAGGGAATTTTCACTTTTCCCCCCCGTGGGGGCTCCCCAAGCTAGGGAATTTTCACTTTTCCCCCCCGTGGGGGCTCCCCAAGCTAGGGAATTTTCACTTTTCCCCCCCGTGGGGGCTCCCCAAGCTAGGGAATTTTCACTTTTCCCCCCCGTGGGGGCTTCCCAAGCTAGGGAATTTTCACTTTTCCCCGCCGTGACAGCTTCCCAAGCTATGGAATTTTCACTTTTCCCTCCCTTGGAGGCTCTCCAAGCTGCGGAATTTCAAATAGCTAGACAACGACGCCTAGATAGTCCCCCAAATCCCGTGTTCTTTGAATGTGTTTCCATGTTTTTGCAATGGTTTCCTTCAAAGCACGGTACTTTACACTTTTGTCGCCATAAAACCGGTCGAAAACATCATGTTCGACAATGCTTCCAATTCCCTTATCTCCCCAACCGTTGAAAATACCGCTATTTACAGTGTTTTCTTCAATTTTTCCATGTTCCAATGCCGGTAGCCAACTCCAACATATATATAAGAAATCCTTCCAAAACATTGTTTTTGACAGTGTTTTTCCAATGTTTCCAGTCAAACAGACGGTAATTTACACGTTTTTTTGCCATAAAGGCAGTAAATCCTTCCAAAACATTGCTTTTGACAGTGTTTTTGTAATGTTTCCAGTCAAGCATACGGTAATTTACACGTTTTTTGCTATAACGTCAGTCCAAAACACTTGTTTTTGCAGTGTTTTCAATGCTCTGGCATCCAAAAACCCTGCAAAATCTTGCTATGTACAATGTTTTTTTCATTTTTGGCCGTTTTTCCATTGCCGGAAAGCTACCAAAATGACCCAAAATTCCATTTCAATACCCTCTTGCGCTCAGACACCCACCGTATTCTGGTCTCGGTGCGAAACCGTTTTTGGCCCCCCCCCCAGCTAAAGCTGATATAGCGACTGCTATATTAACAAATGTCATTGAGCATTTAGTGTTGCTGTTTTGCCCCCCAATAAGCACGCCTTCACCGCCAAAGCGGTGTGGGCGGATTTTTCGACAGCCAAATTAATTGTTTCTGAGCTCGGTTTCCTGTTTTTCCCGAGAGCGTCTGAGCGCAGGGTTCTTCCAATAGTGGGGGTCTGTAAAGCATCTTCTCATCTTCACATCCTCTCATCTTCACATCTTCTCATCTTCACATCTTCTCATCTTCACATCTTCTCATCTTCACATCCTCTCATCTTCACATCCTCTCATCTTCACATCCTCTCATCTTCACATCTTCTCATCTTCACATCTTCACATCTTCACATCTTCTCATCTTCACATCTTCTCATCTTCACATCTTCTCATCCTCCCATCTTCTCATCCTCCCATCTTCTCCTCATCTTCACATCTTCTCACATCTTCTCACATCTTCTCACATCTTCTCACATCTTCTCACATCTTCTCACATCTTCTCACATCTTCTCACCTCTTCTCATCTTCACATCTTCTCACATCTTCTCACATCTTCTCACATCTTCTCACATCTTCTCACATCTTCTCACATCTTCTCACATCTTCTCACATCTTCTCACATCTTCTCATCTTCTCACATCTTCTCACATCTTCTCACATCTTCTCACATCTTCTCACATCTTCTCACATTTTCTCACATCTTCTCACATCTTCTCACATCTTCTCACATCTTCTCACATCTTCTCACATCTTCTCACATCTTCTCACATCTTCTCACATCTTCTCATCTTTACATCTCATCTCACACCTTCTCCTCTTGCCCTCTTGCCCTCTTGCCCTCTCCTTCTTTTCTATTTCTCTCTTGAAGGCGGGAGCAGGGGCAGTGCCAACGAGACGGCACGAAACGCAACCCTTTCGCACGAAAAGAGGTTCGATCGCCAAAAACTGATGTAAAATTGCGATTTCAACTTGTCCCGCGCAACCCTTTCGCACGAAATGAGGTTCGATCGCCAAAAACTGATGTAAAATTGCGATTTCAAGTCGTCCGGCGCAACCCTTTCGCACGAAATGAGGTTCGATCGTCAAAAACTGAGGTAATATTGCGATTTCAACTTGTCCCGCGCAACCCTTTTGCACGAAATGAGGTTCGATCGCCAAAAACTGATGTAAAATTGCGATTTCAAGTCGTCCGGCGCAACCCTTTCGCACGAAATGAGGTTCGATCGTCAAAAACTGATGTAAAATTGCGATTTCAACTTGTCCCGCGCAACCCTTTCGCACGAAATGAGGTTCGATCGTCAAAAACTGGAGTAAAATTGCGATTTCAACTTGTCCCGCGCAACCCTTTCGCACGAAATGAGGTTCGATCGTCAAAAACTGGTGTAAAATTGCGATTTCAACTTGTCCGGCGCAACCCTTTCGCACGAAATGAGGTTCGATCGCCAAAAACTGATGTAAAATTGCGATTTCAACTTGTCCGGCGCAACCCTTTCGCACGAAATGAAATTCGATCGTCAAAAACTGAGGTAAAATTGCGATTTCAACCCTTTCGTCCCTAAGGTAAAATTGCGATTTCAACTTGTCCCACGCGACCCTTTCGCACGTCCCTTTCGCACGAAATGAGGTTGGATCGCCAAAAACTGAAGTAAAATTGCGATGTGTGTAAAAGCGTCTGTGTGTAAAAGCGTCTGTGTGTAAAAGCGTCTGTGTGTAATAGCGTCTGTGTGTAAAAGCTCTCTGTGTGTAAAAGCGTCTCTGTGTAAAAGTGTTTGTGTGTAAAACTGTTTGTGTGTAAAAGCGTCTGTGTGTAATAGCGTCTGTGTGTAAAAGCTTCTGTGTGTAAAAGTGTTTGTGTGTAAAAGTCTCTGTGTGTAAAAGTCTCTGTGTGTAAAAGCGTCTGTGTGTAAAAGCGTCTGTGTGTAAAACCCTCTGTGTGTAAAAGCTCTGTGTGCAAAAGTGTTTGTGTGTAAAAGCGTCTGTGTGTAAAAGCTTCTGGGTGTAAACGTCTCTGTGTGTAAAAGTGTTTGCGTGTAAAAGTGTTTGTGTGTAAAAGCGTCTGTGTGTAAAAGCGTCTGTGTGTAAAAGCGTCTGTGTGTAAAAGCTTCTGTGTGTAAAAGCGTCTGTGTGTAAAAGTCTCTGTGTGTAAAAGTGTTTGTGTGTAAAAGGGTCTGTGTGTAAAAGCGTCTGTGTGTAAAACCCTCTGTGTGTAAAAGCGTCTGTGTGCAAAAGTGTTTGTGTGTAAAAGCGTCTGTGTGTAAAAGCTTCTGGGTGTAAACGTCTCTGTGTGTAAAAGTCTCTGTGTGGAAAAGCGTCTGTGTGTAAAAGCCTCAGTGTAAAAGCGTCTGTGTGTAAAAACGTCTGTGTGTAAAAGCTTCTGTGTGTAAAAGCGTCTGTGTGCAAAAGTGTTTGTGTGTAAAAGTGTTTGTGTGTGTGTAAAAGCGTCTGTGTGTAAAAGCGTCTGTGTGCAAAAGTGTCTGTGTGTAAAAGCGTCTGTGTGTAAAAGCTTCTGGGTGTAAACGTCTCTGTGTGTAAAAGTGTTTGCGTGTAAAAGTGTTTGTGTGTAAAAGCGTCTGTGTGTAAAAGCGTCTGTGTGTAAAAGCGTCTGTGTGTAAAAGCTTCTGTGTGTAAAAGCGTCTGTGTGTAAAAGTCTCTGTGTGTAAAAGTGTTTGTGTGTAAAAGGGTCTGTGTGTAAAAGCGTCTGTGTGTAAAACCCTCTGTGTGTAAAAGCGTCTGTGTGCAAAAGTGTTTGTGTGTAAAAGCGTCTGTGTGTAAAAGCTTCTGGGTGTAAACGTCTCTGTGTGTAAAAGTCTCTGTGTGGAAAAGCGTCTGTGTGTAAAAGCCTCAGTGTAAAAGCGTCTGTGTGTAAAAACGTCTGTGTGTAAAAGCTTCTGTGTGTAAAAGCGTCTGTGTGCAAAAGTGTTTGTGTGTAAAAGTGTTTGTGTGTGTGTAAAAGCGTCTGTGTGTAAAAGCGTCTGTGTGCAAAAGTGTCTGTCTGTAAAAAGTTCTGTGCGTGAAAAACTTTTTGAAAGATACGATGCAAAAGATACGATGCCATATAATATTGTCTTGATACTACTCTTCTCGTCTGCCTGTAATACATCTTTGATATATTGTCTTGTAATATAGTGTCGCCATACTAACAGCAGAAGAAGACTCTGCTCCTCTACGCTCTCGGGCCATCCGTCGTCTAGTTTGGACCCGTGCACCTGCTTCCTGGACCTTGCCTCCATAGGGTGGGAGGGGAACTCCATTGTTATAGGCGCTCACATTGGGCTGGATCCCGTGCACGTTTTTTTGACCTGGCACAGGGTGGGGGGAATTTAGATACTGAGACCAGATGCATGCAAGAAGTTGTTGATGCCGGGGAAATTCCGGTATTGAAACAATAAAAACGTAAGAAGTGGTGGGGAGGCCAATAAAAAAAAGGTCTACGTATGAAGCGCAATGGATGCAGGAAATTGACGGGCACATAGGGGAAAGGGAAAGCTCGATATTAGAACAGGATGAGCGCAAAAAGTTGTTGATAGATGAGGGGTGAAGCCTAGACATTGAAACGAAATGAAGATACATTAAGATACACGCAAAAAAATGCTGAGAGACGCAGGGGGAATTTTTGGGACCCGAAAATGAATGCCAGAAGAGGGTGGGGGGAATTTAGATATTGAGACTAGATGCATGCAAGAAGGTGTTCAGAGAAACGGGGGAACATGTAGATATTGAAGCCAGGTGCCCGTAGAAAATTGGTGAGAAAGAGGCAGGTGGGAGAGGGGAAAGTTAGACATCGAAACAAGGATGATCGCAAGAAGTTGCTGAGACGAGAAGCAGAAGTCTAGATATTGCACCCAAATGACGGTGCATGCAAGAAGCTGTGGAGAGACGAGGGGAAGCTGAGATATTGAAACCGCATGAATGCGGGAAGCTGTGGAGAGGCACAGGTGGGGGGGGAACTTTAGGAGGCCACTGTGGAACCAGATATAAAACCAAATGAATGCAGGAAGTTGCTCAGGGGCACCGGGAATATTGAAGCAAGATGAATGCAGGAAGTTGTTGTGGGGCACCGGGGAGGAAGCTTAGATATTAAAACAAAATGAACGCAAGAAGTTATGGGGAGGCTGCGGGGGAAGTATAGATATTGAAACCCAGCGAATGCAGGAAGTTTAGGAAGTTTGATGAGAGGCACAGGGGGGAAGTTAGATATTGAAACCAGATGAGCGCAAGAAGTTTTTGAGAGACAAAGGGGGGAAGCAGAGACATTGAAACCAAGTTGAGATGCATGCAAAAAGTTGTTAAGAGGCCAGAGGTGAAGTCTTGAGAGCAAGCGAATGAATGCAGGAAATTGGTGAGAGGCACAAGGGGGGGAAGTTTAGATATTGAAGCCAGGTGAATGCTCCCAAGTGGGGCACAGAGGTGTGAAGAGTAGAAATTGAGAAGAAGAGGGCAGAATGGGAAGGAGGTGGGAAACCCAATGTGTCACAAGGATATGGGCGCTGCACTCCCTGGAGAGTATAGATATTGAAGCCCAATGAATGCAGGAAGTTAAAGAAGTTTGAAGAGAGGCACAGGGGGGAAAATGAGATATTGAAACCAGATGAGCGCAAGAAGTTGTTGAGAGACAGGGGAAGCCGAGATATTGAAACCAAATGCATGCAGGAAGTTGCTGAGAGGCACAGGGGCGCAGGAGAAATTCGGATATTGAAACAGCATAAAGGTAAGAAGTTGTGGAGAGGCCAACGGGGGGAAACCTACATATGAAACCAACTGGATGCAGGAAGTTGAAAGGCACATTGGGGGAAGAGAAAGTTAGATATTAGAACAAGATGAGCGCAATAAGTTGCTGAGAGTTGACGGGTGAAGCCTAGACATTGAACCTACATCGGCTGCAGGCAACGAAGACCGTCATGGACAGATGTGTAAACGTACCGGCGAGGGATGCTCCTGGGCGCAATGGTTGCAGCTGAGGGTGCCACATGAGTCGACATCGAAATCAATGTAACCTCGTTGGTTAGTATCCGGTCACAGGACGTATGGACATGTAGAGACGGCTGGAATGCAAGAAGATGAATGCAAGAACTGTGTCTGAAGAATTGCGATCAAGACACGGCTGGGGGCATGGTTTCAGAGCAGACCGTGTACAGGAAAGGCTTCCTGCCATGTTGCATGCTAGCTGCTAGCGCGGTCAAGGCTCCCAGACTGGCTATACCCCTCGCAAGCAGCAACAAACTCACCAATGACCCATCCTGGGGATTGCGAAGCAGACGCTGCTAGCGCGGCTCTAGCCCCCTACCGTCCAGGCACAGCAGCCAGGGTAGCTGTCATTCCTGTCACACAGGTTGGAGTTCAAGGCTCCCAGCTGGACAGAAACTGTAGAATCTATCCGAAAAGGGTATGGTTTGGGCCAGGTCGAGCAGGAGGGAAGGATGAGGTCCAGAAGGAGGGTGTGCAGGTCCAAAAGAAGGGTAGCCATCTGCAAAAAAAATGTAGCAAGGTCCAGTAAAAGTGTCCAGGTCCAAAAGAAATGTAATGAGGTCCAAAAAAAGTGTTTTCCGATTTTCACTGCCTGTAGGCCCCCGTGCCGGCCGGTGAGTCAGCCTTCACCAGGCCTCCACATTGTTGAGCACCGCCATCGCTTTTGGGATGGCCATGACATTGCTGCAGACTGTGGGGCTGGTGGGCATTGTCAAGATGAAGTGGCCAGAGTATATGGAACCCTTGATGGACTTCGATCCTTGTTATGACAGCCTTCAGATAAATTCTTTGGGTTTCAGGCACCCCCCAAATCAAATGCGGGACAATAATGTAGAGCAGTCCGTTTGCTCAGTACAGTTTTAAACATCCAGTTTGCTTGCAGATCAAGTTCCTCATAGGCGCTCATGTTAAGATCCGCTGAATCTTAAGGTGACACTCCATTTGGCACGCGGGAAACTATTCTTTTTCTAAGACTTAGACATCCATTGTCAGGGTTCCAGGGTTCCAGTGTTCCTCCCTTTCCCAGATGCCCCCACGAAAAAGCCAGCTGACTGGTCGCCGACTAGCGCCAGGCTTCACTTTTCATGTTGGATTTGCGGGCTTTGAATTTGAGCTGTTGGGGCTTCAAACCTTTCATGTCCTACATCAACAGTGTACTTCTTTGGCCAGGAGATTGGTTGGCTAATGTTGGCTGGCATGCTGCTGGCTATGGCTATGGTATGGTCTTGGCTAATGTTTTGGCCACGTGGGGCACGGGTAGGGTGTGGCGATGACTGATCATTCTGAAGTTATCGCGACGAATAAGAAGGTTGCAAACGACATGATGAACCATAGACCTAATTCTACCATGTGGGCATGCTATATACACATCTATACACCATGTCTTGCTCACAGGTTTACTACATTGTTATGTTGATGAACGCTGATAGATGTTGATGGATCTTGATGACTATGAATCATCGATGGTCTTCCTAAGGTATCCCGAGCTGGAGGGCCCACCCAAACCATGGTGGCCCATGTGAAATCACCCAGCTTTCTTCCATAATGGGAGAGAAGAGGGAGGCCCTTGCCATGGTCATCACATGTCCTCAATGATCATCCGCAGGAGCCTTGCTTTGGCTGTCTCTTTGCGGAGCAATTTCCCGGCTTCTGCCTCTCAAGTATCACTTTGAAAGGGCCAAGGCTCTTAGCACCGGCGGGCAGATCTTTCAAATCGGCTTCACCATTATGTCCAAAACGGCCCCTTGCTTTCCATTTTTTCCAGGTAGCGGGCTGTCCGAAGTTATAGATGAGATGGCAAGATTCTTCAGATTGATCATTGATGAATGGAAGTATCAAAGGAAGTTTGGACAAGAGACTTCTGTGTTATATATATATATATATATTATAAATATATTTATATATATATATTTAAATAAAAAATCTATATATACATAAATATAAATAAATAAACATATATATATATATATACACATACGTACGTACGTACGTACATACATTCATTCATTCATACATACATATATTTGTAGAGAAAACTCAACGGCCTCACGAGTTCACCACCTGGCTCGCGAAACACGGAACTTTAATGAGAGACCTTGAAGGCACAGATCCGTACGGGCGCAATACTTCATACCATCTTTTTGGCTGAAGAAATCTCAGTAAAACTGAATTCCTCACTACTCCCACAAGAAGAAAGACATGAGAAGTAAAGTTTTTTAAGATATGAAAAGTATTAGATTTCCAGCATGAAATACCTACCGGATTCTACCGGGTGACTTGAAGAGCCTTTGACTGGCCGAGCCGGTTTCTGAAGAAGTGGGCTGTTTCATAGTTGTGAGTTGGTGAGCTAAAGAGTCGATGAGCTCGTGGACTCCTGAGTTACAGTAGTGGGTCCTAGATAGTCATATATACGCAAATTTGGTCAAATTTGGACTTATCAGTTTTGTTGGTGGCAGGTGCCCTATGAAGTCTTTTGGCGTTTCAAACCATGCGGTTCTCACTTAGACCGTGTTCCTTCGAAGAGTTTGTTGTGACCACCTGATTTTGTTTTTATGAGTCCTTGTCCCGTAACTTCCGTCCGCTGGCCCGAACGGGATCTATTTGTACATTTAACAGTGGGAATATCATGCCAAAGATTTGACACATTGGGATCTATTTGTACTTTTAACAGTGGGAATATCATGCCAAAGATTTGACACATTGAAATGTGTATTTTAACATCCTCCAATCTGCTGAGGCTTTGCTGCCCTTCATGTGTTACACTCATCCAAACGGCAAGTCGAGCGTGCTGGAACTGAGTGATGTGATTTGCTGGGAATCCGAAGAACACATCATCATGGTGATCTTCGGGGTGTCCATGGTGGCTGTCATGTGCAGCTACTGGGTTTTCTTGCTGTTCCTCACATGCATTGCCCCGGCGAAGTCAAAAGATGATGATGGCACTTTCTTCAAGACCAGCCGGTTTCTTGGCCATGTCATGCCCGGTTTCTTCAAGATCCCTGATTTTTTCCTCTGGAAAATTGTCATATTACGGTCAAATGCCCTAGAAAATATTCATCTCCTTTTGCCTCTAAATTACTGCCGCCATTTTTGAATGACCTGCAGCTTCAATCGCCATGTGTTTCTGCAATTTTTCCATCTGGTGGGCAAAATGAAGCACGCATGGACAGAATGAAACAGGAATGGACTAAACTTCCAAGATACATGGAGCAGAAATGGAGAGAATTAGACAAAACTAAGCACCAAGGGACGAAATTAAGCACCAATAGGCAAAATGAAGACAAGTAAGCACCAATGGACGCAATGAAGCACAAATGGACAAGATGAAGCAAGTGGACAGAATGAAGATAGATGAACCACAATTCGACTACATGCTTTCTGGGGATGGTGTTCGGGACTTCTGCCAGCCCTTGCCATTATTTCCGTTTGAACGACAGATTTTCCCATACCCCATGTCTAGAAAATGAGGGAACAGGCTTGTTGGCACTTCATTTTCTAGGGATGACGCCGGGGGTGCCCGATTTTCCAACAGCCCATATGCACAGCATGAAAATACACAAAGAAAACGCAGAGAAAATTATGACACAATGAAGCACGAATGGCCGAAGTGAAGCACAACTGGACAGGATAAAATATGATAAAATGAATGTAAATCGACAAAAATCGACAAAATACACGAACATGAAATACAATTCGATTTTTCACTTTCTTTGGGTGGTGCCTGGACCTGAGAATTAACGGCAGTCAGATAGCTGGGATCAACGGGGACTAGGCAGGAGCGGTCCTACCATTTTCTTGTCGCCAGGACATGCGAGGGTTCTATTTCTAGAAAATGGTCGTAGCCAGAGAAACATGGTCATTACAGTCATTCATTTTCCAATTTTGCGAGCAAATGAAGGGGGGTGACCTTCGCTGGTCAATAAGCACATCTATGCCCAGAGTCAGCTTGTCAGTGATATTGCTATGGATAGGCAACTAGCTGATACCTGGAGCAGAAGTTCAAAAGTTGGGGCTGGCATCAGTGGAATTGCAATAATGTGGCGAAAACAATGTCATCAACAATCACCCTGTGATCACCATAAATAGGTGGTATATATGCTTACCATTCCCTGTCATGGGTGGTAAAAATGGCATTGTTTTACCCACATGATTCGCATGAACCCCTTCATTTTCCAGGGGATTTCCATGTTTTCTTTCCCCATAAAATCACCATAATCCAGACTATTCCCCCATTAAATCACCATAATCCAGACTATTCCACCATTAAATCGCCATAATCCAGACTGCAGGTTTCTCTTCTTTCGTTTCCGCCCCGTAGTTCCCCTGTACCTGTTCTTTTCGGTTTCTACGGCACCATGGCTTGGGACTCGCGTGGCTGCGGAGGCAATCACCTTGCCGCAAGTTAGGGCACGTCCGGGTTCGTTGGCGTGTTCGATTCTGCACTAGAGCTGGAGCTAACGTTTGCCTGTGGTTCGTTCCCTCTTTAAGTTGGGACGGACAGGATTTGGGTTTATGCGAAAGGGAGTATGTGATCCTGCCGGGCAATTTAGGTTGCTGGCCCCTTCGCTCGCCGGCCTATAACTTGGTCGTTTAGAGTTCGCCTGAGGTTCATGCTTTCAGTTGGACTGGCTGCCACATGGGGTTCGTTTCCCCTCAGTTCTGGAAAATGTGTTACGCACAAGGGATGGTGTTTTTCCCCCAAGACCGCCACTGCGGGACTCAGTGATGTTCATGGCGCGGCTCTGCGCTTTGCAGCTTTGGTTAGTACTAGCAGGGGGGCTACTTTTCTGACACGAGAAAATGAGAGTTGGCATGACGACCACCAGTTGTCCCAGGCGTCGTAGCTTTCTTTTGGTTACGGACTGTTTACAGGCCCTCACCAGGTGTGTGGGAATGTGTCACATGTTTGCAAAAAAACTGCCTATCGCATACGTGTATAGCTTTAGGTATTGGAACCCGACGAGGCCCTGTTTTGCTTCTCACCTTCCTCCACTACAAGGATTAGGTGTGTGGTCCAGACAGGATGCGTTTCCGCCCCGACTATTGGTGGTATGGCACCTGCTTGATCTTGCGCGGACCGATGCTGGCCGTCCCCATGGCCGTCTTCACGGATTTGCCACAGGTGCAACTCTTCGTGATGACTGCGGTCTTGGAGACTCGGCATATGGAAGATGGCTCGGCTGCTTAGTATTACTGGTGCGAAACGTAGGGAATGGATGGGTTGCTGGGGGTTGCTGGGATGAATATAGTTAGCCGGTGGATCATTCCCGAAAATTCCCTGCGTTTAGCACCAGTAAGGTTGTGACAGTTGAAGATCTTGGCAATCTAAAATTCTAAACCTCCAAAATAAGAAGTGAACATGATAGTGAACACCCCCAAAACTTTTTCACAACCATCTGGGGCATCTGTTAAAAACATAAGGACAGGATATTACAGGTGAATGTGCGCGAGCATGTCCAGAGAAGGGGCCCGAAGGGCCCGACGGGCCGATACCCTTCATTTCCTGTTGAAACATGTTGAAAGCATGTCGTGGAACATTTGGATTCCTTCCGTGGAATCGTGGAACATTTTTTACATAAGGCATGCATGGTGTATTGAAGTTTCCCGGCAACCGATGGTAACAGTATTCATTCGGAAAAGCCGTTGAAGCTGCGAATTTTGAAGGATGACGCGTGGTTGTTGAATGGGCGGGGTGAATTTACTAGGTGAACACCATTATGATAATTTAGGATCATTAATTATGGTTTAGCTCAACCTGACATCTGACGACTAAGCACCTCTATTATACTGACATTTTTTCTGATGTATTTGACGAGGTTGACTCTGGCATTTGACATCTTTGACATCCCCCGCTGAGAGAGTCCAGCATATTTTTTGACACCTGCTTTTTAACTTTTTGTTACATGAGAGAAGATTTGTCCAGACAAACTGAAAGCAGAAAACTTTCCGACTTTGGACTCGTGCCATCTCCTGGCAATCCGGGGTAAGTTGTTTCGGCAGCACAGGAGGTCTATATGGTGCTCCGGCTGGTGGTTTGGCCTTGGAAAACGCCCTTGATCAATTTCGCGGATGGAGCTACTACGGTTTGTTTAAGGTGCTTATTTCGTTGAAAAGCCGATCTAATTCACAATTTATCACAATTTATTGACATCTAAATTGTTAGCGGGGTAGTTGTCCATCGAAGAAGCACTGACATTTTTTGAATGTTTCTATGTATATATATATTTACCGTATATTATATTAGCTACAATTGCTTGTCCAGCATCGCGAATAAAATCCAAGGTTATGAGCATGCTACTCATTTTGCTTCTGTCAGTTGCCTCGGCATTCTCGGCGTTGGCAGGTGGGCTTTCGGGCCTGAAAATCGATGGATGTACCACATATTGTCGATGCATGACCATATATGACCATCATCTAACAGTAACATGATTAACATATAGTAGGTCATATAGTACATCCATAGTAGGTGCCATCTAACAGGCCGGGATTATGATGATTATGGTGATCATGATCCATAGTAGGTGCAGGCGGTGCAGGACTTCCATGAACAGTAAGATGATGAACATGTGGGCCACTACCATTAGCTGATTCACAGCTCCGAAGAGCCATGGCCTTCCAGCCCTGACGCCATGCCCAGGCGTGCTCCTTGCAAGTCTCTACTCAGTGACGTTTATTTTGCTGGTTATGGTCTTGACTGCCTTCTTTCACCGCGCTGCCATGGGAAGTCATGATGAACTGGCCGTTTTGACGCTTGGCAAACCTCCATCAACCACTGCCCTGCTTCAAGGGTTGAGTGCCCTATGCGAGGCAATTGAGGAGGCTTGGATGACGACCAAAGGACCAAATGCATTGCATGGGACTATGGAATTGGTTTCCGAGGACATGCGTTTCGGGGCTTGATCTTTATTGATTTTCATGTAATTGACCATGGACATGTTCCATGGAACGGTATGGAACTGTGGCATTTCAGGTGGACGTCGAATTCTTGGTCCAAACCATTGATGAATTCAACGTCTACGACCGAAGGATGTTGGCCAACGTGTTGACCACCGTGGCACCATACTTTGACAATGACCAACGTATGCGCTTACTGAACCAGATGCGCATCTCATCGGTCTCATTGTCCACTTACACCAGTGAGAGGGACAGCCGAAACCGTATCTCCAGCTCCACGGCTCGATCGGATCGCACCAACTCAGATGACAAGGGTGGCGACATGTTCAATAGCTCGATAGCAGATCACAGCCGGAATGCCAATGTCGAAGAGGAGCCAGAAAAGGGGGTCGAAGAGGTGCGGCTCTCAGTCCCTGTTCAAGACCCGGAGGAACGCGAGCAACGCTCAGCGCCCTCATTTGAGGCCCACAATCGAGTCCATTTTGCTGAAACTTTCAGGACAATGGAGATCTGAAATCAGAGCTCGACATTGGACTGAAGAGAAGCAATGTGAATTGCTGGGGAACGCACGAATCCTCCGACGGTTGCATGTGATCATGCCCAGCTGCGCACAGATTTTTTGCTGGAATTCTTTGTCGCAGGGTCTGCGTGGAGCATTTTTTGCCTCCAGGATCCAGCCAATGCACCCGGAAAATGTCAGTTAGCAGTTTACCAAGGCCATCAGGAGCCGCCCCAGGAGATTCTTCAGCATGTTTCGTTCTTTATAAGAGGATGTTTGTTACTCACGTGCATTTGCTGGGCTAATCTTAGGGAGGTTGCGATGCTAGATATGATAGATGCTGTGTGAATGTTGGGAACACATCAGTCCCTGACTTCATGGAATTAACTCCAAAGATGAGCAGCTGAGCTACCTTGCTGGGAGTGTCAGTCAATGTCATTCGCAGGCGGTAGGAGCGTTCTTTTTAGCATGTGCATTTTTTCTTCACGGTCCAGCCAATGCACCCTGAAAATGTCAGTTAGCAGTTTACCAAAGCCATCAAATGTGTAGAGGCCAGACAGGGCCTAACAGCAGATCCCTCAGCATGTTTCATTGTTTGTTGGGGTAACCAGAAGAGAACAGGGATGGATCATCAATTGATTCATTCATCCTGGCGTGCTTGCCGAAATTTTACAAATAAGCATATTCTGGGTGAAGTAGTGTAATCTCAGAACTCGCCCCGCTAATTGATTGCGCTGGGAATCCCATCAACATAGCTTGATTTTAGATGGGGAATACCATACTTTACCCAGATGATAAGCATGTGCATCCCGGAAGCGATGGTGCACGATGCCCCGGGTTTCAGCTTCACTCTGCAAAGCGCGGGTAGATGGCTGAACTGCAATTTTGTGAGGCTGTTTCCCAAACGTGGCGAAGGGACACTCCACTTACAGCTGTAGATGATAGGTCATGGCAGTCGGATCGATGAAGCATTGTGTTTTTGGAGAACCCACGCCATGATCCGAAAGGCCCACATATTATCAAACTTTGGACCACGAGACCGTGACGCACGTGGCACTCACATTGGAACCTCATTGGTGATGTGAGTGTTCGTGGTAGCAATGTGTTGACCACTGTCAACACTGTGGCCACTGTGCCAAAATGGTGCCCTTTGGAGAAGAGCACCAAATCTTGTCGGCTCCAGACGTGGTGCTGTGGACAAGAAAAGGTCTGCCGATTACCCGAGAGATGTGCCAGGAGATGCATCACTGCCGCCAAGGTGAATCTCAGCATGTCAAAGGCATGGTGCCACGGAAAAACCAAAACGCTTTGCCCAAGAGAAACCACATGGCTGGCCGTGCCCGCACCAGCAAAATTGCCCAGTGATTGCCAAGACCCATTGCAGTAGATATAATATCATATAATAAGAAAAGGACCCATGCAATTGAAGAGTATGCATTTCATACATGGGCGATGGGTTTGCGCAATCTATTTCGGAATATATCTAGAATATGGTCCTTATTTGCTTTTTGCATTTTTAAATTGTGATCATCATTTGATTTTTGTATTGTTTGTTTTGTGGATTTTTCTAACCACGTTTAAACAAATAAATAAGTAAATAAATACATATATACATATATATATATACACCCATGGCACCCTTAACCCACTTTTTTTGGGGTTGAAATCGAACAACATCTTTTTCCCAAGATTTTAAGAAAAACATTGTATTTTTAGAAACACATAGTTTTCCAAATTTCTACCCGTAGTTTGCCCGTAATTTGCAATAATTTCCTGTAATTTAGTCGTAATTTCCCGTAACCAAATGCCTTGCTGAAAAAAACCGGGCTATTTCAACCACCACCCAAAAAAGAGTTTGGAGGCTGTAGGCACACACACACATATATATATATTATGTAGATATATTCTATCTTTTGCCTTTGAGACAGCCAAGACTTGAAGAATCCCTGGATTGTAGATGCGGCCTACAGATCCAGGCTGCAGACAGGCCAGTCGAAAAAGCATTCAGACTTTAGGGATCGAGGCTGTGATCTACTTCTACCAGTGTGAATTTAGGTGATATATTGGAACAAGAGATTTTCACGTGCACATATGACAGGCTTCACTTTGAAGCCCGACCATTGTCAAAAACTCCTTCAAAGTGGCGCAGAGGAGCGATGGACCCAGCAGCATTCCATGACTCCAACATTTCAACATTCCATAGCAACTTTGTTAGCAGCTGCATGTGTGACATGCAGGAGTTCCTCAACAAAAGGGAAAGGTTAGCGCACCAACAGGTGGGAATCTACTAGACAAAGGGCGAGTAAAGGAAGGGGGGAAACCAGAGCTCAACAGGATAGCATCCCAAAGGTCGAGGGAGGCAATTTGCAAAGCAAATCGAAAAACGCCCGAAGCCTTGTCCACCTGTTTTGTCGAATTGTCGCGAACTGGGCAGTGAAGTCACCATTCCCAGCCGAATCCTTTTGATTGGAGCACAGCGAGAAGCCCAATGTCTCCATCAGAGCATTTTCAGCCGTTTTTTACATTCACCAAGCATGGCATTAAGCTCGGCAAAGTCAGGAGGAGGGATCCAGTGCGCAAGTTTGGTTTAGTCTTTGGGAAAGGAATCGGACCGTGGCACTGGCCACTTGTAAACCACACAGTTGGAGTCAGATCAGGGGTGACTTTCAAGACGGCATGTGCATCCATGCCGGGAAGGCTAGGGTCATAGGATCCCACTGATGAGGGTGGAAATAGACTAGACCAAAGACGCCAGAATACTTTTTGTCGAGTTACTATCCTTTATCTCATGTGCTATTTGCACCCTGGTTGGTGTGTCTTTTGAAGAGATTTTTTCATTCTACCTCTGGTAAATCGACCAGAACTAGGGAATCAAATCGGTATATATATATACATATGTATATATGTGTGTGTATGTATTTATTATGTATGTATTTATTTATCTATTTATTTATTTATTGAACTGATTTTGACTTCTTGTGGTTCCCAAATCATCCAATCCAAGACCTTCAAGATCAAGTCCAACCTTCTAAATATATTGAGGTCATTGGCCTCATGAGCCCGCCGACATGTGTTGGGATTGGGAGCTGGGGGATGGTTGCGAAATGTTGCGAAATTCTGCGCCTGTTGGTAGATGGTTTGTCCCATTGTAATCCCATTATATCAATGGGAATTTCAGGATCCTAAAATGGAGGTACGTTAGTACCAAACAAGGCCATATTTTGTGGGGATATCCCCTTACATAGGCATTACATAAGCCTTATATATGGTAGGTACCTCCAATTTAGGTTCCTGAAATGACCACTGATTATACACAGTGCTGAATTATGTTGCCAATAGTTGCCAACTGGTGCAGAATTTCGCAACCATCCACAGGGGGTTTGTCTATGTTTTGACGTTTCTGGAATTGACCTTGGCTTGGTTGAATCAAGAAGCGTCCTGGCTTTTTCACACTAGGCCATGGCAAAGGGTGTCATGGCGTTTCTGTACAACTCGTCGCAACATCACATATCAATATTATATACATACATATGCAATCACATATACATATGCATATATATATATATATATATATACATATTTGTGTTATACATTTTACATGCTTGTACATACTTGTGCATGCATACATACCATGCCATACCATACCATACCATGCCATGCCATGCCATGTGCCATGCCATGCCATACCAGTTACATTACATTACATCGCATGGCATTACATTACATCACATTGCATTGCACTACATTACATTACATTGCATCACATCACATCACATTACATCACATCACATCACATTGCAACACATCACACATCACATCACATTACATCACATCACATGACATCACATCACATCACATCACATTACATCACATTACATCACATCACATCACATCACACTACATCATCACATACAGGTATATATTTCCACGCTTTTCCAAACTCATTGCATTTCACGCCAGGCCTGGCCCTAGTGCCCTTGGGGCCAAACAACTGGAGCCTGCCGCCCATGGGTCTGGCTGTGGCGGTGGCGGTGGCGGCCACGCCCATACTGGTGTTGCTTAGTGAAGATGGGGGATGGGATTCTGGAACATCATCTTGACACGGGATCAGAAACTGAATGTGAGGTAAAGGGTAACTTACCAGACCCTTCCAGGACACTCTTTTTTGTGGATACCAAGGTTATATGATTATCCATTTAGTTCGTTGATTTTCCCATTAAACATGGTGATTTTCCATAGTTATGTTAGTTCACCAGAGGGTATATGATTATGTATATGTCAAGTATATGTCAAAATTATATGGAATTCATTTGATTCTTATGGGATTCTTACTGTCTGATGGGGCCCCAGTTCGTTGGCGAAGTTGGTTTATAAGTCCAGTCACTAGGGCCTAACTAGGGTTGATGGGAGGTATAAGTACTTATAACTATAGATAAACTGGGATTAATAAACTATTGGTAAAGGTGTAACTATAAGTACTTATAACTAGGGTTGATGGGAGGCTAATTAAAGGGGATTATAGATAAACTTATAACTGGGGGGACCATCCTGTACCCTCTGGTAAATTAACATAGATCAAACAAAATAGTCATTGTTTAGTTGAAACTAATCTTCCAACCCCTATCTGCCAGGATCTATGCTACTTTATGAGAGGGTAATGTTTAGACACGTACGCAAAATAAGCATATTCTGAACATTATGGACTTTATGTTCTAAAAAAATAGGCTATATCATAAATTCCGCAGTGGGATGATATATATAGATATATATGCCATAGAAAATAGTATGGGATGGACTCTATTTTCTATGGGTTGCCCCGATTTTTCATGGGTGCACTAGCTTAATCTTACGCTTTACTTATAGATCTCGCCAATTCCTCGAACGGTTCGTCAATCATGGGGGGCTGTTTAGGCCCTGGCGGCTATAAGGTGAGAAACCCCCAAAAAATAACCATTGGATGCGGGCTTAACAGCCTGGTTGGTTTCATGTGGTGAATCATTCGCCATTCGTCACTTACTAAGGTGAACTGTTACTTTTGCATTTGAGATATTATCACTGAGGGCAGGGCAAATAACATTGGAAATATGGTCCGTGCCCAGCACGTTTCCCTTTGCGCTTGGAAAGGACACAAGAAAGAACGTCCAAGAATCAATGGTTTCAAAGGAGATAGAAACACAGACATCTAAAGAATCTCAGGTGATGTGGGGGATTACCTCCCAAATAGGATCAGATGGTTTTCTAGGGACAGCAACCCCCACCCAAGAAAAACGGTCAAACGGAGGCTTCAGATGCAACTGATCCAGTTACTGAAGTCACCGGTGACTGTGGCCGTTCTGGCCGTGTTCCATGACCTCATGATTGTGAGCCTCAGAAGGGCCAAGATCTTTGGATCTTTGGAGGTGTGGGCTTTGTAACGCCGGTGATACACCAAGTTTGGTCAGTTTGGTCGTTGACAGAGTCGACTCGAATGATATTGTGATTTTTTTTTGGGGGAGGGGTCATATGTTGTAGAACTTGACCGTGCGCATCGTTCTTTTGTTCTACATATGGTCAAATTTGGGTGTTTGATGCAATGGATCTTTATCTTTATGGTCTTCGATGGCCCAAATGCTGCAAGACAACATGACGAGACGGTGTGAGAATGCACTTGCTAGTGGAGATCTACGTCTATGTCATCAGCATGTATCTATGTTACGCGCACGCACACCTATACACACACACACACTCACATATACACTGACATACACACACACATATATATATATTGCATACATATATACACTCACATATATTATATGCATATCATATAGTATACATATAGTATTCTATATCCAACTATGCTTTGTAGATTTGGCATAGGTGGGCCCAAAGGGCATGTAAAACATCCCCGACCCATGGGGTGTTCAGGTACTGTACTTTGTTCTGATGGGCGGTGAGACGTTCTCAGAAGCACAAGTGATAGGCTATGCGGTGGATGACTCAGAACTGTATCGCTGTCCAGTTTTTTTTTTAAATGGGGGGGGGTTGGAGAAGCAACGTTTAGAGGGGATATCGTGCATAATTGTAAATTGTAACTTGTGATCAACAATTCACATACAGTACTTGTGCAATGTTTGTTTAGCCAACAGATGCCAACAGCATAGATAGAGATACTTTGCAAAATCTGAACGTGCTACGACTACGGTTCTCTGTGCGAGTACCAAGGCTTTGATGACTTTGTAGCCCTGTCGAGATCCCCCCCGTATATCGACACCTTTTTTGTGAGTCTCATCCACGCTGCCATTTCCAGGCTCTTGAATGGATTTCTTAGCACTAATTATGGTGAAAATCACCATTAATCACCATAAAAAAAACATTCTTGAATCATTATCGATTTCTTGGGTTTGTTTGAAAATATGGCATTCCAAAATCCTATGGATCCATGGTCTATCATCATTTTCCTTAATTCAACAGCCATTTTGGGGCTATTTTCAGACAAACTCAGCCATGCTGTGCGGTGCCAAAGTTCACTCCACAGCCCATCCTGCAGCCCCTGGGCGCAGCGGGTCTCTTCATGCCCTGCCCCAAGGGCCGCAGCCGTCGCGTCGCGCCTGGCTGGCTCTGGTGGCGGTTGCTGCGGGCGGCTGGGTGCCACGACGTGTGGCGCGGGCGGCGGCCAAGCGATTGAAAGAGAACTCAGACCTTAGGAAGGTCATTGGGATTTGGAATTGAGGGGTCGGGTTTCACCAAACATGTCTTTTGATATGTTTTGATGGATTTTGAAGTAAACAAAATGATCAAAATGATAAGTTTAAGTTTCCAGGCAACCATTTCGATGAATGATCCCTATATATTCGCTACACCACTTAACAGATGCTGTTTGGGTTCGTTGCAATGTGTCGTGTTTTGGTCGGGTTTCACATGCTTGGGTCCGGGTGAAGGATTTACTGCTGAGCAGTACTGTTGTCGATATCATTGGCAAACTGGGAGCAAAACTGCTTGTTTTCAAGGAATGATATTTTTTGACTAAGCGCAACACTTTGCTATTGGGGTTGTATGCTGGGTTCATTTTCAATGACCTTCATTATTTTCTTATATAGTTAATCTCGGTGATTAGTCGGGAAAGGTCCAATTGATAGATAAGGGCAATGCAGAAAGAGACGGCCGCACAGATTGTGAGGCATCGAAGCAATATTAAACAGACATGTTTGGTAAGGAAGACTTCACCAAACAGAACTGCCAATGCTGACATTTCCCAGCTATCCACCCCTAAAATTGGAATTTCACTTCACCACTTCACCACCACTCATCCAGCACACGCCTATTCCATCATATTGTGACGTAGGAGAGCCCTGCACTGGTTTTTTTTCAATTGGTTTATAAGCCTTATGAACTGCCATGAACTGGTTCGATATAACCCCCACAACCCAAATTACCATCTGGTTATTTAACATAGCCATGGAAAATGGCCCATTTATAGATGGTTTACCTATTAAAAAAGGTGATTTTCCATGGCTATGTTAGTCATAACCAGATGGTAACCCCCATAACCCACCCATTTATAGATGGTTTACCTATGAAAATGGTGATTTTCCATGGCTATGTTAGTCATAACCAGATGGTAACCCCATAGCCCACCCATTTATAGATGGTTTACCTATGAAAATGGTGATTTTCCATGGCTATCAAATTATTTTCCTGGAGTTGTTTGCACCAACTTCGCTGACGAAAAAAGGGGCCCCAGGTCTCTTATCCAGCATTTGAAGCTGGAGACGAAGAGGTTCAGGAGGTGCAGCAGTTGGTGACCACTGGAGTCCCTGCAGGGCCTCCTGCTCAATGGGCCGGGCTGTGGCGGGTGAGTTATGCCCCGCACATTCGAACCCTGGGCAACTTGCCTTGGGCTTATGTATCTTATGTTGGTGAGGTTTGGATGGTTTGGTCAGTCCTTTGGTTTGGTGCTCTCCGCAATGTTTGGTGGATTTTCTCTGTTTTTCTCGTGTTTTGAAATTTTGTCCGCCTTTTCCCCTGTTTCTGCACGTAAAAAAGTAAAAAGACGTGAGGCTGAAAACACATCCAACAGGAACAAAGGGCAAAAACAAGCTCCAAAAAATCCCTCCCAGGATCGTTAGGCTTCACCAAGTTTGACGTCTACTATGACATCGCCCCATCCGCTGCTGCTAGCCCCGAGATCTCGTCCTTCGTGCGCTTCGAGGGGCCCTTCTGGCGTGGTTGGCTGAATTCCTCGGGGACCATCTCGACGCTGTCCGAGGATGAAGTGCAGGTGCCTATGGCTTGGTTTTGTTGTTTTGTTTCGGGAAATCTTATGGTAATCCCTCTGGTAATTTAACATAGCTATGGAAAAGCATTATTTTTAATAGGTAAGCCATCTATAAATGGGCCATTTTCCATGGCTATGTCAAATAACCAGAGGGTAATCCCCGAAAAAGATGGAAACATGTTTCCTGGATGGTATGGATGGTATTTACATCCACCAGGTTTCCAACTTTGCTTTTAAAGATCTTAACCAGGAAACGATGGATTTACCCACCAAACATATCCAAAATACAGGAGGGTTCCTGCAAAGTTTCTCTTAAACCAAGTCTGTGAGGGTGAAGAGACTAGAAGTTCAAACAGCATTCGGCATTGGGGGGAAACTCATAATCAACTGCCATCAAAAGAACAGAGATGAAGAATAGGAAGGGAGATCATGAATCACCATCAAGAATAGGGGAGGCTTGAAAAGTGTCCAAAAACAGAAAAGTGAAGACATGACATGTGGGTCTTTTTCTGGACTTCTCTGGTATAGACTGATCATTGGTGCTCTGCTGCTCCGGGCCAAGGTTGACTTTCAGAACTTCTGGGTGGTATCTTCGCCCAGAAAACGCATGGGGATCTTTCGGGGAAACCAGGGTATGCTTAGAGGATCATCCACGAATCGTAACTGGTCAGTTGCCCTTGGCCTGGTTAGTAAGTCCCTATAGCTAGGGTTATCCCATCTATAAGTGGCTTGTATCAATGGCCATCTCAGGAACCTAAATTGGAGGTACCTACCATATATAAGGCTTATATTTCAGGCCTATGTAAGGGAATATCCCCACAAAATATGGCCTTATATGGTACAGTACCTTCATTTTAGGATCCTGGAATTCCCATTGATTGTAGCTTACTAACCAGTTCTTAAGTAGGATCCTCCTTGATCCTCCTCAATCCTTACAGGGATAGTTGGAGATGCAACCCGAAGCTTGGAACCTCTGTTCCAAATTTGCATCCCCGCCTTCGGGTGCGCAGCCCTGGTGTGATGTGAGGTGTTTATTTCAGATTTTTTTTGCAGTGCTTGTTGTCGACACATGTTGGGATCATTTTGTAATTCAGTAACCCACCGGAAAAAACAGCCGTAAACAATCGAAACTGTTCAACCATTTGGTTGGGGGCCGCAAATTCGTACCAAGAAAGTGAGTATGTCCCCAAAAGGAGCCACGTTGGGGAAGGCTTATTCCTATTGTCCTATTGTTGGCATCCCCGAATTCCCCCACTTTGCCCATCATTCTTCGCAGCGCCTCCTAATCCTAGGACTGGGACAGTGAGCAGCCGCGGCGTAGCGGCAGCGACTTTTTCTCGGAGATCGCCAAGAAGTTCTTCTTTTTGGAGCTGAGCCGATTCCCTGTGGTGATGCCCAGTGGGAGTTGTTTTTCAGGGTGGGGGATGGCGAAAATTGGGGAAGAGTTAGGAATACGACTGAACCACTTTAGATATCTTTAGATCGGGTCCGACATTTGGGCCAGTCTAAGGGTTTAAAGTCCGACATTTCTGTTCAGGGTCTGGCCTCGGACCTCTCTCACACAAGCTTCGAATGGATTGCAAACGGCAATCTTTGCCCAGGACATTCAATATAATGCGGTCGCTCTACCATGTGGGATCCAGTTGGGGATGGTAAATATTGGCTTGACACATTAAAACATATTAAAACTGTTTGCTTAACTCTTTGGAGTCAAATCCCGTGGCTCACAGAGTGCCAAACATGCACACGTTGCAAACTTTTTCAGCTCATTCCGGTGCATTATTGTCGATGAAAATGGCCAATGATGGCCAATGGTTCATTGACACCTGATTTTTCAAGTCATTTATGGAGGAACAGGGTGATATTTCAAGTATATAATGTATGGATATATATATATGGCCATTTAAGGGGGAGCATGATAAACTATTTATATCTGCTTGTTCCCACAAAAATTCAGACAAAGCCACATCAATGTCTTGATCCGCTGGGACTGAGGTCTTAAGCCTTGACACCAGTGAAGGAACCACTGCGGGGGAGCCAAAGTTCTCGGCTTCTGCGTTTGGTGAGGTTCGGTCACAAAAACCATTTGAAAAGGCTGGGAAACCAATCGTATCCCTTCAGATGTTTCTAAGTTGGAACAGATTTCAATGTTTAGAATGTTTAGATAAGTTCGTTTCCCTATTTCACGGGGGGTTAAAGGTTGGAAGCACCACTTTTTGGTGATTGAGTGATGTTAGACAGTGGTGCCAGGTGCCAACATGTCCAACAGCTGATGTTTATGGAGGACACCTAAGGGACCATAGGTGATTTGATGATAGATTCTATGAGATTACGATACCATGCACGCAATCGTGGAAGTTCGCTGTTCCTTGGTGAACCATCAAAAATGTGATCTTCAACCATCAACCTCAATTTTCCCAGGATTTTCCTAGGATTTTCCCAGGATTCCCCCCAGGAATTCCCCAGGTCCCAAGCCCCAGGTCTTTCGCTTTCCCGCGCTGGGCATGCAGATCGCTGCTTGCCGAGTGGGTCCAAGCGGCTCCGATCCGCGGCCGCTGTGAATTTCCTGACCGCCCAGAGATTTTCGATGGGTCAAAATTGGCTACCCCAGTAGCTAGCTGGTTGGTGGTTTGGAACATGAATTTTATTTTCCATTTCATATATGGGATGTCATCCTTCCCATTGACGAACTCATATTTGTCATGATGGTTAAAACCAACCTGCTAGATATAAGTTATATATGGTTGACATATGTTAACACCCCAGCTAGATATAAGTTATAGATGGTTAACATTGGTTGACATTGGTTAACACATGTTAACAGACTCAAACCTATGGTTTTTGTATGTTTTTGTGGGGCTGAAATTTTGACCCGTACCCAATTTTCCATGGGTTCGAAAAGCATAAAGATCCTTCAAGCCAAACCTATCCAGTTGAAATCCTTCACGCAACGTTTTCAGTTCTTGATGGATCCAAAATCGAGAGCAACGAAAAATGTCCAGTCGATTCGGATTTTCGGAGAGAGCAGTGGTGCAGTGGTTTTTACGGATGGAAGCGGTTTGGAGCGAAAAGTCTTCAGAAATTCCATCATATACCCTCTGGTAATGACTGTTACATAGCCATGGTATAGATGTTCCATAGAAATAGATGGTTTACCCATTAATAGAATGGTGATTTTCTATATAGCTATGTTAAATAACAAGATGGTATTCCCTACAAAAGATGGGGGGCCATATATTGAGCTACGAATTGAGTGTTCCAACCACATGATAGAAAAGGATGACCTGTTTACCCGTCCAAGTGTCGGTGATCCATGGGTGACAGATGATTGACCAATCCCTCAATGGTGATTTGGTTGGTGGTTTGGAACATTTTCTTATTTTCCATAATCCATGGAATAAGAATCCCAACTGACGAACTCATATTTTTCAGAGGGGTAGGTATACCACCAACCAGATATAATGGACTGAGATTCGAAGCTGAGCGCCACATTGCCTCAAGCAAACCATCCCAAAACCATCAAAGGCCTCCACCAGCGTGATGTGGTCAGAGGTGCCACGACTTGCAGCGGCTGCGTCCAAAAGGTGCCAAAAGCAACCAGCAGATTAGCCCCGTTGCTGAGGCCCCAGTGATGTTTGTTGGTTGATGACCCCATAGATTCCATAGATTCCATGATAATAGTTATCTGGTTGCTGGTTTGGAACATTTAGTATGGGGTAATGATGGTTAATTATGGTTTTAATGATGGTTAATAATGGTTAAAAATGGTTAATAATGGTTAATAATGGTTAATAATGGTTAATAATGGTTAATAATCACTGGTTGGTGGTTTGGAACCATGGAATTTTATGATTTTCCATATATTGGGAATAATCATCCCAACTGACTTTCATATTTTTCACAGGGGTAGGTATACCACCAACCAGTTATAAAAAGTTATATTCTCCATCAACCCATCTAGTTGACATTCGTTGACAAAGCTATAAGTCAACATAGCCATGGTTTGGGTTTTTTTGGGGGCCACACCATTGGATGTCAAATCGTAAAGCTCTGGTTTATTTTTTCAAATATAAATTTAAGGCATAAATGCCATGCAACATTTGGCACTGAAAGATGTTCTTACCCTCTAGTTATTTCACATAGCCATGGAAGCCATGGCCCATAGAAATAGGTGGTTTACCTATTAACAATGGTGGATCTTTCTATAGTTCGCTATGTTAGTCATAACCAGATGGTAAGTCCATTATAATTTCATGATACATGATAATCCCATGATCATATTATCCATACATATGTATATATATATATAATATTATATAAATAAGCAGATGGTAAGCCATGGAAAATGGTCCATTTATAGATGGTTTACCTATTAAAAATGGTGATTTTCTACATAGCTATGTTAGTCATAACCAGATGGTAAGTCTATCAATGATTCCAGGTGATCCCGGGTGATTCATGCAGCTGATCTAATTCAGGTCTCGGCTGTTGGCGCGGTCCTGTACAGCTGTGCGAAGTACCGTGGGCCACTTAGGCAACGCCCCATGGGAAATCTATAGCAACGCCACAAAAAGGATAGAAAAGTCAAGTCCTACTTACTGAAACAGTGGTAAATGACATGACTGTTCTAATCTGTTCTATCTTTTTTTTTAAAGTTGTTTGGTTGCTATAAACATGTTCAGTCTTGACCTCCTCTTGATATTGATATGGTCGCATCGAAATTTTGCGTCATGATTTCTCGCTGAACCTGAGCTGCTCCCAGGTTATTCCGATTTGGCGGACCAGGCTGTGCCTTTTTTTTGGGGGGATTTCTCGGGCTGTGCAAGTCTCGGTGGTTCTCTCCATCGCACCCGGCTGTGACGATGCAGGATTCGGATGAATGCAACTCCTCCATTGAAAATGAGAGGAGTTATTCAAGGACCCCCCAGGCCTTAGCCCTTCAGTTTTCTTTCTCAACCTCATCATCCAGTTTCAGATAGTGTCGATGATCACGATCTGTCGATGATCACTGTCGCGTTTTAGGATCCATCAGGATCCATCGGTCTAGATTGAGCCCAAAGGTGGTTTGGTTTAGAATCCGCTGTCGCAGCTGTGTCCAAAAAGGTGCTGATCCGAGTAGCTCTTTCGACAGGCATAAGAAGATCTTGAGAGACCTGCTGCATCAGGAGATATTTCATCATATCACCATTATTCATCATTAATATGAGAAGATATATTAAGCATATCATCATAATTGTTTCATCATATCATAATTAATATAATAAACATATATATATATGTGTATATATATATTTATATTCATATATATACACACAAGTACTTCCACATATTTGGGAAACTTATTCAGGAGTAGATGGTGTTTTTGTATCGCTGAAAAAAAGGTCCAACTTCTCGGCTCCAGTCCTGGTCGACCCGTTGAGACCCGGGGGCCAGGGGGCATCTTGGAAGGCATTGGAAGGCACTAGGAATTTGAAGGATCTTACTTCCAGAGATGGGTTTTTGATGGTTTTTGATGATTTTGATGATTTTTTTAAATGGTTTTTGATGGTTTTTGTGATGGTTCCTAGATGGTCTCTAGATGTCTTTGGATGGATCGACAGATGTTTTCAGATGATTTGTGATGATTTTTTAGGGGAAGACGCCCCCTTTCATTTGATGGTCAGAACCAATGGTTTACCACATTCACGGTGAAGATTTTCCCTTAAACCCAATGATGTCCAGCATGGTTTCATATAATTATTACCTTGGCGCCCCGAAGAATCATATAGAATCATATAGAATCATATAGAATCATATAGAATCATATAGAATCATGTAGAATCATGGTTTCCTGTAGGTTTTCCCTCAAACCAAGCCCATTGAACTTCAGACCGGCTCTTGGTGAGATTGCTGAATGAAAGTTGCTATGAGACAAAATAGGTTGTAAACTATCCACGCTGTGAGGTGGTTGAAGTCAATTTTTCAGTGTTTCAATGATTTTCAATTCCCAGCCCAAAGCCATTGAACTTCATAATTCTTCACACATATTTCTTGGTGAAATCCCATTGTTTTATTGAATTTGATTGCTTACATTCCCATATTTTACCCGAAAATTTGGCAGGCTGTTTTGTCAATGGGAATTTCAGTATCCTAAAATAGAGGTACCGTACCATATATGGCCATATTTTGAGTGTATATCCCCTTACATAGGCCTTGTACAGGCCTTACATATGGTAGGTACCTCCAATAAATCGGATCCTGTTGCATCACCATTAATTCACTATTAGTCATTAATAACCACCATTAACCACCATTAACCACCATTAAATCACCATTAAATCACCATTAAATCACCACAAAATGGCCATTGATTTTGGGTGGCTTGTTGCCCAACATCAACAGGCTAAGTGGACGCGCCAAGGTCATGGTCTGATGCGAAGATATGGTGCCCTCAAAGGCCGGAGATGTTTGGAAACTCATGGGAGAATAATGCTGACGAACTCCATCATTTTTCAGAGGGGTTGAAACCTCAACCACCAACCAGTGAAAATAAAGCAATAGTTCGGATCCATGATCCCCAAATCTAGCAGGAATCGACCATATTTTCATGGGATTGAAACCATCCATTTATATGGACCTTTTGAGGATGATAAAGAAATATGGAAACTGATGGGATATGATATCTGGGGGCTGTAAAAAAACACGTATTTCTTGGGCGAAACTTGGAAGCATCCTCCCTTGAAGGACCATCAGCTGGAACTTGACTTTGCTGCTGCTGCGGATGGACTTCCGGATCTCTGATTTTGAGCCTCAAACAAGTCACTTGTGACATCTTAGAAAACCCAAAGAATTGGAGGTGTCCTATAGGTCATGGGTGCTACTCCAAATCATCCAAGTCATCCACATCATTAGATCAGTAGTGAAACATGTTGAAACCTATGGTGACTTGGGGATCCCAATTTTCCAGTGGCAAAATGTGGAGAAATCTTCCTGGAATTCCAGGCAGCTCGGGCATTAGAAGCGGCGCTGGTGGGTGACCCCAGTGGAATTTTTGGCGCATGGCCATAATGTGGGATCCTAGTGCCATAAGCCTACCAAACTTGGGGAGGATTTCAATTTTAAGCCATTCTTTTTGGTGATATTTGTTTGGGTAGCTAGGTAGTCTAGGTAGGTAGGTAGGTAGCTAGCTAGATAGATAGATAGATCGATGGATAGATAGATAGATAGATAGATAGACAGACAGACAGACAGACAGATAGATAGATAGATATAGAATCTTTTTAGATTTCATGGAACCATCCAAGAACTTAGAATCTTTGAATCCTCCCTTCTTCGTTCCGCCAGGTGAACCAGTTTGGCGAATCAGCCCGCGGCACGGTGGAGGCCGAAGTGGGACGCTTTCTGCGCCGCGGGATCCGTGGGTCGAGATCCCAGAGAGCGGCCGGGATCCGATCCGTTGTCGGAGGTGAAACGTCCTAGCACTTTGCTATCGAAAACCATGGAAAAACAGCAGTTTTTATATGGCCCAGAGCTATAGTTGATATTGATATTATATGGTAAATCAATATCAACTAATATCTATCGAAAATCATGGAAAAACAACATCTTTTTGATATGGTAAATCAAGAAATATCAATGAATATCAACTATAGCTATGGGGAAATGGACCATGGCTTCAATAGAAAATCATGGAAGATCACAAGTTTTAATAGGCAATCAACTCATATCAACTATAGCTATGGGCCATGGCTTCAATGGCAAACTATTAGTTTACCAGAGGGTAGGTGATGGTAAGTGTTGAGGGATGTTGAGGGGGTTGGTGAACAGAATGAGAAGCACATGATTCTCTTCATGGCCGAGTTGGTTTATCCGGGGGAAGAACTGTGCTAATCTTTGCCATGACAGGAAAATGAAGGCCAGACTTGGAATCGAAAAACCGTGAAAAACCTAATAGCCTGAAGATGAAAACTCTTAATCCACAGGTCCTTGTTTTCAACCGAAATCTGTGGCATTTCCCACGGTTTCCCATGTTTCAGTGTTGAAAGGTTGAACACCAGCCCACCCAGCGACCCATAGGTCTTTTAAAGCAAAACCCCGCCGTGATGCTGTTTGGTTCAAGCGTTTTTGGAGATGATCCATGACCCACAGAATCGCAGTGGATGAATCATGATGAATGTCCCTTATTTCACTCAGAAATTTTCAATGCAGTGAGAAAAAAAAGCAGCAAATCGCCAATGTTCCGCCCTCGCGAGTGGGACACTGGTATTGCACTTGTTTTGCAGCATTTTCCTGCTTCCGCCCAGTGAACCAAGGCTGAAGGCAATTTTTTTTGGTTAGAACGATCTCCATATGGAACCAGCATAATCAGTGCTGCTCCACAAGCCATCCAGTGCTTGAGAGTATCAAGGCCATCCAAGCTGCACAAGGCGTTGGTCAAAGATACCAACTGCATCGCCATGAAACCACGAGGTGCGGAAAGCCCATTGAAACACCAGCCATGGCTGGTGTTGTGGGGAAGTTTTGTTGGGGACACATGGAGATCATGGAGATTTGTGTCATGATTTCTGATGATTTCTTGGCTTCTTCACCAAGACATCCTAAAGATATGTAAACATGGGAAGGGGTAATGGTCATTTCATGCACATATCATTTCAATATAATTCAATATAAATGCTATAGAAATAATACACATACAATATATTATAAGATCACATCATTACCATAGAAATTGGCGAACTTGGAAATCCAAGCCCATTGTCCACCCACCGCAGGGCGAGCGTTTCGCTTCGTTCGCTGGCTTCCTCCTGTGGCGCTGGCGTTGAGCGTCGTCAAGAGCTCTAGCTCCGGCTGCGCGGCGAAGCTCGGCTGGTTGGGAACTCTTCCCCAGAAACCCATGGCTTTTGCCATTTTTTTTGCCTTTGAAATATACAAGATGGTGCCCCCCAGTTATAAGTTGATTTATCATGATTTATATATAATCCCCTTTGGCTATAGTTAATATAGTTATGAGTACTTATATCCCCCATCAACTCTGGTTATTGGACTTATAAACCAACTTAGCCAACGAACTGGGGCCCCATCCTGGCCCATCCTGTAGGTTTTTATGGGCCTTCCGGGTTCAATGTTCCCTAAATCCATTGATTCTTGGGATGAAAATGGATGAGTTACTAACATGCAGTAGCTTGGACCAGATATGATATATGCCATGGTCAACTGAAACAGTTGGATTGTAGACTTTTCAGTTGACCATGGCATATATCTATCATATAGCATATGTATGTATATGATATATATATATGTCATATGTTTGTAGACTTTTCAGACCATATATATATATATATATGATATGATATACAAATGGGACGAACCCATCCATTTTTCAATAGGGATTCAGATGTCCATGATGTTTCTGGGGTGCTCAGGCCTGGGCCACCAGGCCCGCTGGGTGCGGCCAGAGGTGTCGAACAGCCTCAAGGGTGGAAAGCTGTGGAGGTGATGTTGGCTGATTTAGCCGTTCATCAAACGTGGCAATGGACAATCCGAGTTTTAATATGTTTTAATGGGGGTTATAGCTGCTGGTTGGTGGTTTGGAACATTTTTTCGATTCAGTTGGGAATTTCATATCCCAACTGACTCATATTTTTCAGAGGGGTAGGTATACCACCAACCAGGCTGGGACAGACATCGAACTTCGCTGGGGTACTTTTCAGCCCACCGGCTGATGATCCGAGGGCATCCAAGAATCCAAGTCCCAGGTCAATGGCGTTTGGGAGAAAATGCTGCGGGTCAGGGGAAAAAAGGTGTCCTTTATGTATATATCGAAGAATAAGTATATACACAATCATATATATATATATACATATAATCACATATATACATATACATGGATATCCAATGATATATATATATATACACATACTTATGTATGTGTGTGTTTGTACTATTCTGCATATTATAGTGATGTTCTTTTAGAGACATTTGTGCAGCCACACCAGACGGACGGCCCAGCGCGGGGCCGCAGATTTGGGGATCCTCCAGCGGTATGCGCCTGGAGTACTGGTCTTCGGTGCTGAGTACTGCGGCCCTTGCAAGGTGGAGCCGTTGCAGCACTTGTGATGGATCTCCAACGTTTAAAACTCTTCACCCATTATCCTTTTTTGCTCTCCTTTGTTTCTGGTTTTTGCCCCTCATCCATGTTCACAAATGTTACCATTTTTGTTCTCTTTCCTGAGTATCTTTTTTCTCATTCATCTTTTCCTTGTTAGTCTCATTCATTCTTTCCCTTCTTGCTTTCTTTCCTCCTTTGTTGTTTTCTTATGGGTTCTAATTATGCTATAGTTATATGTTGGTAAAGTTTTATGGGTTTTAGTTGCGATTAGGGTTATACGGTTATATGAAGGATATGTGTCATCGAAGTATTGTCTTATTATTTTCTATGTTCTTTTCTATTGATTGATGTTGTTCTCTTCTCTCTGTTGCTTTGTTAGATTGTTCGCTTGGGGTTGTCAGGATTGTTAAGGTTGTTATGGTTTCACTTCTGTTTTGCCGACCGGGCCGACCGGCCGACCGGCCGCGTTGCGTTGTCTTCATCGCCTACTTCTTGGGTGCCGCCGGGGCGCTCGGATGATTGAGTCAGAGCATTGCAAAGCAACTCTCAGAACACAATCTGCATGCACCAACTGCTTCTTTATCGCCATCATCAAGAGAAAACAGGTAGACAAAGTAGTGTGCCACCGTGGGTGTTCCTATCCTTCCTCGCAATGTCGGATGGCGTACGTGGTGGATATCCAGCTCCCATTGACCTGAAGCCCTCGGACTTCTCTGAATGGATGGCGTCACAAGAGTGCACGGACAGTCTTGCAGAAGCCTTGGAGATGGCCACCTACAAGATCCTTGAGTACGGCAAGAAGAAGTCGGACTTGGAGAAGGCTCTCAAGGAGCGAGGGGCGAAAAAGGAACACCATGAGGAAGAGCAGGTCGCCCAGGGAGAGGAGAGCCCGGAGAGCCCGAAGAAAGGAGTGGGCGAGAACATTCGGAGCATCATCCAGAAAATTGAGCAGGGCAAGATTGATGGGATACAACTCACTCGCAAAAACATCACGCAGGGTGAAGCAAAGGCCTTGGCTGAGGCAATGGTGGCAAATGCGAAGACATGCACCATCAAGACGATCGACCTCTATGGCAACGAGTTCGGGGATGAGGGGGTTATGGCATTCTCCGAAGTCATCGCCAATGAGAACTCCGCTGTGGAGGAGCTCGATCTAGGCAGGTGTGGCATGACAGACCTCGGAGCTTTTGCACTTGCTGAAGCTTTGAAGAAAAACAAGACAGTGAGAGAGTTGGTGATTGGTGGCAATACAGGCATCACAGCTCGAGGCAGCAGAGCCATAGCCAAAGCTTTGGGGACCAATTCCTGCATCACCAGTCTACGGGTGAACGATGGTGTGCTGGATCGTGATGGGGCTTCACATTTGGCCAAAGCCTTAAGGACGAACTCGGCACTCAAAAAAATCAACTTGAGTTTCAACAAGACGATGGGGACGGGCGCTGCAGAAATCGCACGTGCGTTGAAGGAGAACAGGTCGTTAGAAGACGTTGACCTTTCATATTGTGACATCAATGATGACACAGTGAATGAGATTGCCTTGGCATTGCAAGAGAACAAGGAGACAGCTTTGACGAACATCAGCTTGCGTGGCAACAAGATCACAGACGCCGGGGCTGAAAGGCTTGTTCCAGCTCTGAACGAAAGCAACAATCAGACGATCGAGAAAATTGACCTTAGTAACTGCAGTGTGTCATCCTGCAGTGACAAGCGTGTCGGATTTTAACCACGGCTGGCATAGTTCCTGCAGCGTCAGTGTTGAGAGTTGCCTGAGGTGCTCCGAGACGGGCTGCACTACATGGCTCTAGACCAGCCCTTCAACCAGCCCTTCACTTGTTTTGATTCGAACAATTAAGACTCATGTCATGATGCTGTGTTCCAATGTGCATTACTTATCTGTTGCCAATTGTGAGGGGCCTGACTTTCTTTTTGCTGTATAGAGTGAACTTGGCACGGCGGGCCGGCGGGGCAGTCCGCGCAGTGTGAAGATTGCCACACTGAAGACCCGACTTCTGGGTTCCGTTGCGGCTCACGTGCCGGGCAACTTGCTACCTCTCGCCTGAAGGGCTGAGAAAAGAAACGCTGCCCAGTCATGTCATGTGCAACTCCATTTTGAGATTTGCTTTGTGTCATGGATGCAAAGAAAGTGTTGTGCCTAGGCGTTTGCCTGTCATGTGGATGTGAGAAGCAGTGACATTACCGAACTTTGCTCTGTGAAGTGAACATGTTGAAGGACTGGGATGATACAAATTAGAGTTACGGTGTTCTCAACTCCAAGTCGGGTAGTTTAGTCCAAGTCACCGATGCCTTGAGCCAGAGGGTCATTGATGTTGAATACCTCATTGGCCTTGTAGAGACATCCCTGAATGAGTACGGCGAGTACGTATCCCAAGGGTGAGTGGATGACGGGCACAAATCCCGAAGAGTAATCCAATCCCGATCCTTCACCCCGACTGCCCTTGACATTTGTTTTGTCATTGCCCGCATTGAGGTTAAGATATCACTGATGAGTATGCCGAGGCTTCAAGGATGGAAGTACTTGGACTTAGCCAATCCTGTTTTCAAATGAGGACTTTTGAAGACTGTTTTGTAATGAAGGCTTCTTATGAAAACCATGAATGACATTAGGACTGTCAATGCGCACCCCTCTTACTCTTCAGATATGTTATATTGTATATTGAACCCATCCTCACACATACACACACATATATAAATATATAGACACATTGTACATGTAGTTCGCGTCATGCTTTGCTTGACCTGCTTGTTCAGAAGGTTCATCATTTGAAATCGTCTGGTACTTTGAGGGATGGGAGGGTTGGGAGAGGTTTGGGGGAGCGATGCTCATCGCCAAAGCAAACCCCACAGTGATCCCAGACAAAATGAAGTAAGAAAAAGTGCCACTGATGCGGGGAGCGAAAGCAGAAATAAGCAGACCACAGTGGCGACCTCTGCTCTAGAGATATGTCGTGGATGGATGAGACGCTACACTTGTTGGGGTTGGATTTCTTGGCAGTCGCCAGTGGAGGATTTGATGACACACCTATTAAGCAGAACCAAACACCAACCGAAAACCAAATCCAAATACCACCCCAAAATCACCTAAAGAAATTAATGCCTTGTAAAATAAAGTAAATTATGCCCCGCTTTATGGTCTGCGATGGCACCCATCAAGAAGTCAATGATGATGTCTAAAACGCAGTGGTTCAAACATTGAATACTGAAACTCCAACATCAACTCCAAAAGCAAAAATGTCAAGAAGAAATCCCGACGGAAGTTACAACAAAAAAACACGGGGTGAAAACTATTTCAGAAAATACTATCAACAAAATCTAATCAACACCCATAACTTGGCCTGGCTGTGGAAAGACAATATCAAGCAAATCCAACCTTTCAAAACATAGAAGCACTAGAATTTGTAAGAAATATAGTGCCAACCGTTGCTGAACAAATATCAACATTAAGGACTGTTGTTGTTGATAATGTTTATCCGTTCATCTTCAACCAACTCCCAAAAATCACAATCACCAACCCTACCCCAAAAACTACTCAAAGAAATATTACCTCATATGGCGTCAGATATAGACCAGTCAGCTCTAGATTACCTACAAACCTCCCAACGGGCGGAAGTAGTCAATAAAAAACGTAAGATAGGTGAGAAGTCCTACAAGTATGAGAGGTCAAAACCTTTGTCGGGAAAGTTGATGAAGGAACTTAAGAACGTCAGACAAACAATGAATTACAAACTATATCACATAAGAAAGATACATGGGTTAACATAAAGAAGAACAAGAAACGTACAGGAGTTAGACAACCAACCGCATCAAACACTGTAGAAGAAACCAGCGCTTTTAAGAGTTATGACAACTCCGTTTCAAGTACAAACATTGATTTAACAGGCATTCAAGCGTTGGAACTACTGATTGAACAAGAAAACATGATTGAACAATTTTTGAATGAAAAGAACGGTCTAAAAATCATTGTTGATATAATAGGTGTCTTCAGAAAAAAGGCTACTGATGACTTAACAAAGCAACACATCAAAAGTAGAAGGCATGAAATCGTCAGCGCAGAAGACATACCTTATGTTATGTTCCAAATGGCAACGGACATTGAATTTCAAATTGAAAAGATGGAACTGAGTGAGAGTGGGCTAGTGTTAATAGAAATTGAACAGATAAGAATAAACTATGACAAATACCATCCAACAAGGGGTGGTTCATTCATTGAACTTCCAAAATGGATACAAGACAAGAAAGTGTGTATCAACATTCAGAATGAAGACAATAAACGTTTCAAGTATTGTATCCAATGCGGAGTTTGTAAAATTTATGAGAACACGTCTGTGGGATAATGTATTTTTTCCATCATCAAATATTGACATAGATATATTAGAATAAATAACCAGGTTTATTATCAGTCAATGTTGTTTTTAACATAAGTAAAGAACTAGAAAATCAAGACGGCATTTTATTATATAGAAAAACCAAAGTTACAAAAGCAACTCATCACATAAACCTACTCAAAATTGAAGATGAAGAACATGATACCATTATGCATTTACCAAAGGTTATAGCAGGCTTAGGGGGAAGACAGATTACCAAAAGACAAAGAAATTTCATACCGGTAATCATTGCCTGAACCTTTTCAGAGATGAAAATACATTGAAAGCACACATTGAACAAGGTTGTATGGCAGTTGAAGGACAACACATCAAAATGCCACGTGAAGATGAAACAATGAAATTCAAAAAGCATTTCAAATAATGGAAAGCACCCGTTGTCATTTATGCCGGCTTTGAATGTTAGACCCAGTATGGAACGGTCAGCACTAAAACATTAAAGACTGAAAAATACCAACATCATAGACCCTGTGGTTTCATGATTAATGTAGCGAATGCCATTGACAATTCAACCGAAGAGTTTTTATACAGAGGTGGGGATTATATAGATGTTTTATAATAAAGATATTATTGAAATTAACGATGAAAGTATGGAGAAGATGAACGAAAACAAAGAACCCATAAAAACAGCAAAAGACATAGACAAAATCAATAATGCCACTCATTGCTTCATTTGTGGTGAACAGTTTGAAAAGGATGATGTAAGATATGCCACTTTACAGGCAAGTATAGGGGATGCGCCCATCAAAAGTGTAACTTAGATTACAGTATGAGAAGGTTTAAAGTGCCGGTCTTCCTTCATAATCTTAAAACTATGGTGCCCATTTGATCATAGAGAAAGCATATGATCTAGCAGAAGACAGAAAGATAGATGTAATAGCGCAGAATTCAGAAAGTTTGTAACCTTTGCATTTCAAAGGTTGAGTTTCAAGGACAGTTTTGCCTTCTTAATTGCTTCATTGGATAAACTAGTAGGTTTAAATATGAAGATTACAGCCCTAAGAAAGCAAAAGAACATCTAAAATTACAAAAGGATCGGGACCAAGAACTTTAAGTTTTAGTAAGAGAACCCCCTATGTAAGTGACATAGATGATCTAGATTTGACTGATAAAGGGGTTTATCCTTATGAATACTTTGATGAATTTGAGAGATTTAATGAACAACAACTGCCAACTCACTGCCGGAAGCCAGGGTTTAACCGTTTGACCATCCCAAGATGATGTTCCAAATCTGACCCTTAAGCCAAGTCGATCCAAGTCGGGGGGTTTTGGGTTTTGGTGACTTTGGCATCTTCCAGGATCATTTTGTGTCCTGTATAATCATTTATATTCATTATAATTGTCCCAAAGAAAAATCTACAGCCGCAGCCACATTCAGACAACTCTAGGCATGGATGCCACTATGTCACTAGTCATGGCGCCCCCCATTTTTTTTGCCAGGTCTTCTGCAAGCGGCTGAAAGGTTTGAACCTCGAGGAGGGAAAGCATTGGCACTACATCGATGCGGAAGACTTCAGCCCCAAGGGTGGTGCTGTGCGGGTCTGAGTTTTGTTGGTGGCGCCAGTGGGAAAGCCATTGCCATTGCCATTTGGGGGCATTTTTTTGGGAAAATTTAGAGGGACAGCTCCGAATTGATCAATTTTGATGGTTATCATAATTTTCGAAGATTTTCGCAGGGATACCCCCATATATTGCTATGACGTTTTCTCAATGAATGATGAGTATTGAGAGACGAATGGGTGCGAAAAAACCTTGCACTGCGTCACTCTAATGAACATTCGGATTCTCGGATTCTACTTGTGGAGAAGAGTCATAGACATTTAATTGAACATAATTGAACAGCAGAAAGCCTGTACAAAATTGGACACGGAAGCCCAAAGCACATCCAAGTTTGCTAGAGGTCATTTGATTTTCGATGGTATCCTCCAATGAAAACTGGCAATGGACACGTCCCAATGGATGATTGATATAATATGGTACCATTCAAGGCTCCATCTAGTTTGGCTTCCCAGCCTGTTTTGATACCCAAGGGCCAAGGGGTTTCGTAGCTGAAACCTGGTCGTGCCTAGGAGCTCCTTGATGTCGTTGGGATTCCCTTCGCTCCCCTGCCCCTCTTGGCTGTGCTGAACTCGAAGGGCGAACGAAGCCTGTTGCGCGCCGGACAGGCTCCATTCGGTGATCCAGTGCCCAAAACCATCCAAGACTATATAGGTGTAGGTCAAAACCTGTTATGGTCAATTTAAGTCAAATTTTAGTGGGATGAACATTCATGTGCCAGCTATTTTAGGGTTCACTAGGCACCCAGACCCATATAGTTCCAAATCTGCTTGAAATTGTGGCCACTCCAGTCCCTCTCACAGTTGATTCATGTTGGTTACATGTGAGGAGTAGTGAGTTATATAATCCCATCACCTCAATATTAAACACCCCAATTTATGGTCCTAATTATGTGGCAATTCCCTACATCCACCATGGTTTCGTTTAGGGGGTGTTTAATATTACGGGGAAGGGATTATGGGTGTGGTTTCCGGCCGCGACCTGCACAGGAGCTGCTTCAAGCAGGCGACACGGAGTTGAGATCCTGGTTTGATGGCAGCTACAGCACGCCCGAAAAAGACACGTCCTACGGTCTGCTACTGGCACCCTGTCCGTGATGCCAGAACAAAAACCCTTCCAAGATGAAAATTTGAGGGTTTTTTTTTCAGATGATGGTGAGCTTTCAGGATGATTTTGGAGCATGGTAGAACTTACGTAATGAGGTAAACCGAATGAGCTGAGAAACAATCCCCAATCATAGGAGTACACCGTATATCCAATTTCGTGGACCTCTATTGGCGGGATGCCAAATAGATGGCATTTACCAAATTAAACTTTGGTCTTCAAAATCACTAATGATGGATTATCAATGATTATCATAGATTATGGCATTGGCTTTGTCGCATTATATAGTATAATGTTATACTGTGGGTGGCGACATAGAATGTTATAGAGATCAAAATATGGGTAGCTTTATTATTGCTTTACTACTGTTGCTAGGTACTGTTTGGGGTTTTCATATATATATATACATACATACATATAAATATCCGACTAAATATCCATTGCCATTGTCTTTCAATCAAACTTGGGATATCTTGGGATGATTGGTTGAGATAGCCAATATAGTTAATGGTTTTTGTGATGGGTTAAAAGCATACCATCCAGCTAGGTGTTGGAACCCCCAACTAATTCTGAGCTCTACGTGCATCCGCTGCGTCCCCACCGCTGACCACTGATCGGCTCAGGCATAGGTTTCTAAAACACCCAGTTTTCGGGGCAGAAGTGGGCCAGAAGTCGGCCCAAGACATCTTTTGGGTAAGCATACTAAAAAAAAAAATGTTTCAATAGATAGGTGTATAAACAATATCTTCTATATATGCCCAAGATTTTTCATGATCCTACTGATCCTTCAATTTTTGTTTCAAGATTTGTTCCCCATCCAGCCCCAAACAGAGCTCGATGACCCTGAAAAGCGTCCGCGCGTGTGGAGCCCAGAGCTGCGGTAGGAGATTTGGGAGACAATGGTGGTTTGATATTCATGGGGTCAAACCAAATTTTCATGATTTGGAAGATTAAGAACATGAATTAAAATTTTGTTAAATGTGGGCAACCCTAGATTAATAAACCATGGTTTATTATTCTAGGGTGCCCCCCCAAAGAGTGATAATCCGATACTTAAATCGTACCCTCCCCCAAGTAAACAGCCTAGAAGTTCATTAATCCAGGGTTGACATTACGAGGAACATCTGAAGGTGGTTAGGAATCCCTTTTTTTACCGTATAGACTTTCATTCTATAGAGTGCTTGCAGGGGTCATGAAAACATATGAAAACCATGTGATCACTACAAAATGGTACCCCATAACTGTTTGACTTAATTCCAAGGGGGTTGGTTTGATGGGATTTGACAAACCAAAAATGGGGATTTTTTATTGGATTTAGAGCCGAGATGTCATGGGATTCAATGGGCTGTGGTCATCCATCCTATAACGGAAACCCTGTGCATGGGCTAGTGGGTATATAAAACCGTAGTTATATGTATTTAATGTATTTATTCATTGGGTGGATGATCATTCCCTTTATGGGAAAATAGCGGATGTTTTCACCGGTCACATATGATCCGGCTAACTTTTTTAAATAGCGTATATTGGTACGAGTTTCTGCCGAGTCAACCAGGGGTGGTTAAATTATCAACGATACTTTTCTTTGAACACAACTAGTATTTAAACACTGCTTGTTCTTCGGAGTGTTCAGAAACATCAGAAAAAATGGTGGGTATAGGGCGTGAAAAAAAAGATTTGGGACTGTAAAGAGTGCTGTTTAATATAAACGGGGCATGGGATGTTCCATTCTAATCCCATTATGTCCCATTTGTTCCATTGAATCACCATTATAATCCTATTCGATAGCCATGAATTTCCATGAAATATCCCATCAAATCAGTATATTCCCACTAATATTCCACAGGAAAAAATCCACTAACATTCCACTGGTATATGTCCACTAATATTCCACCACTATTCCAACAAGGGGAATGGGTTGATTTGACACATGTTGAAGCGTTGCGCCAGGTAAAAGCGCCATTTTTCTATGGGAGGTTTAGCGGTGCTGCATCCCTTGCCGCTCGACATCTACAAAAACCGTGGCTTAAGAGTATCTACAGTACCACCCAAAAAGTGATGAACAGTGAATCTTCACTGCTCTAATGGTGATTTACTTGTCTGTTTTTATTTTTGGATGACTTTATGAATGGTGGCTTTTCCAAAACCATTTCGGTATATATACATATATGATCATATATGAATAGCATATGTATGTATATATGTATATATATATATACATACACATACGCACACACACAAAACTTGCTCTAGCGTAGCAACTTAATCTCTTGGCACTGATTACTTGTATTGTGGCCTTGGCAGGCAATACTGCAATTTGCACACTAGCAATGAATGCATAAGATAGTCAGATAATGAGAAATGAGCATGCACTCTTTCAGAATTTCAGATATGTTGAAGTAAGACTTGAATGTTTTGTGGTACCTATGCACTTGAGGAGTCATATGATCAATTCCGGAAACCGCATGCGTCTATGACATGTTGTGACCCGTGGTGTTTACTATTGCTAAGTGAATCTAATTGAACGATCCCAACGGAAAGCATCAATTGGTTCTGAACTTCAGGTAGTGAAAATGGAGATTGGACCGCAGTAAAATGGGAAAGTCATTCTTGCCTTTGATCATATATTACCTTCAAGCAGTTAAACATCGGATAGTAGAGGTTCACTTGGGGGCTGATTCAAAACATGTGATGGCTTTGATGGTGACTCCCAAGTTTCAGAACCGGCAAGTATTTCACATTTCACCCATTTTCACCCCGCAAATGGGTGATTTAAAACAAAAACACATTTAAAAAAAACACATAGTCACATAAAACAAATCGGTAAGTTGAAAAAAAAACGCCCCATAAATGGGTGATCCCATTTTTTTCCACCAACCGTTGGCAGATCCAAAAAGTTTCAACGCTGCACAGCTGGACCTCAGGCGCAGTTATTGGGTTCCTGCTCCCCTGGTGCTTCCTCCCAGTCCTCCTTTGCCGCTGGCCTCGGTTTCTGCCAACAGAGGTTTCAATTTTGGGGAAAGAAATGGGGGGGTTCCAAATGTAATTATAGTGTATGTAGATGTATATAATAATATAGTATAGGTACATCTGGAACATCATATAGTACTCGTATACTAAAATATATCATCTATGAAACCAGCATTTTTGGAAACTTTTTTTTTAATAGTATCCATACGTAGGTATATCTTATGTCAGTTTGAAAGGTTTCAAATGACAAGTTTTTTTCCTACAATCAAACATGGTATAGTACCTATATAAAGATAGTACCTATGCTATCAAGTCATGGATGGCTATGAGCAGCTGCTAAAGCTCTGTTGGTTGATGATCATGGTTTTGAACACTCCTGGCTTGGTACAGAAATGGAGGTCATATGCCATAAACCTACCAAAACTTGGGGATGGTGAAACCATCCCACAGAATTATAGTTATAAGTTATACCCCACATCCATCGGTTAAATGTTTGATCCTCCGGTTTATGGTTGAGTCCTCATTTTCTCCATGAAGATGCAATTTTAGGGCATATCCACATGAAAATGACATACCCTCTGGTACTAATCGATTGAAAATGGTGATTTTCCATAGTTATGTTAGTTTACCAGAGGGTACCCTCTTAGACGAGAAGAGAAGCTTTTGGTTCTACAAACGCCGTTGTGTTAGGTCCGTTCTTCTTTCCAGACACTTAAAAGGTGGGCCGCCCCAAGTTTAAGTTGGTCGATAAACACCATGAACGGAAATATACTTTCTGGTAAATTGACATAAACTCGACAAATGACCAATTTTTTCTGGAAACTTATCTTCCAACCCCTATCTGGCAGGGTCTATGTTAATTTACTGGAGGGTATGTACCGTAAACATCCATAAACCCCTAGTTAATGGAGTATATCGGAGTTATAAACAAACTTTGCTATCTAGGGTGCCCAGATGGCAACTTCCTTGCCCGTAAAATGGCTGGTTGAAGACGTTCCCCGTAGGCATCGCCAGTCGTCCTAACATCCTCATTATTTGGTTCGGATTTTAACGACCAGTTACACCACTTTGGGCTCAACATCAACCATGAAAATAGATCACAGTTGATGTTTTTTCCTTTTTTTCCAGATTTCTCCCGTTGCATTTTCTTATCTTTCTCAGCCATTTTTCCCACAATTTTTCCCAGGGGTGTTCCAACTAGGTCAATTTTAGCCACAAGGGAGGTAAATTGATCATTTACCCCTATATTTAAAACCATTTTTTTGTATCAATTTACCAGCTATTTTAATCTATTTCGGGGTTCACTAGGTACATCTAGGATTTTACCAGCGATTTTTTTTGTTTTCACTAGGTACATCTAGGTACCTATAGCTGGTTGGTGGTTTGGAACATTTTATATTTTCCATAAATATATGGGATAATCCTTTCCATTGACGAACTCATATTTTTCAAGATGGTTATTGCACCACCAACCAGATGGGTTTGGATCCAGAGCCATGCCCAAGTGACTCGTCTCGCGAGGTCCCCCAGTCCCATCAGCTTCCGAAGCTTACGCTGTGCAGATGCCACCGTGGGCGTTGGTGTTGCCGGGGCCGGGGCCCTGGAGTTTGGATTGGGATATGGGTATGGGTCAATACCTATAGATACATTTTTAGTGGGATGAACATCCATTTACCAGCTATTTTGATGTTCACCAGGGGTACAAGGTTTTGACACACTTCCATATGTTTTTTTTTTTTGGGGGGGAGATCTCTAAAAATCAATGGAAATTTAAGGATCCTAAAATGGAGGTACGTTAAAAGTTAGTAATTACCATATTTTTGGCCATGTTTTGTGGGGAGATTTCCTGAAATTTAGGCCTTACATAGGCCTTATATATGGCAGGTACCTCTAATTTAGGTTCCTGAAATGGCCATTGACAAAATGGAGGTTTCCAAGCTGGGAAAATCCTCAAAAATGGGGGGTTTTCCAGCAAGCCACGTTTGATTTGTATGTTTACTGGAGGGTACCCTCTGGTAAACTAACAGTTTGCGAACTGGAAAATCACAATCTTTAATAGGTAAATCAACGAACTAAATGGGCCATGTTCAAAAAGCAAACTGTTAGTCATTACCAGAGGGTAGGATGAAAGTAGCATTTGGGATAACCAAGACTCTTTGGGATCAACGTACTTTATAACGGATATATTTTTGTAAACATGTTTTTTTGATCTTTTTGATACTGTGTGGTGAAATTGGGGTAACTAAAACTTTTAGATTTTATATCAGATGGGACTTGTCATGGATACGGCCAACTATGGCAGAAAATGGCACAATTACCCACCAAGTGCTAGTAATCACCACTAATTAGCCACCAATGGGACTATGATTAACCTGTAGGAGTTTTGACACCATCATCCAGCAATTACAGTAACCACCTTGGTAACGGTTTGTAACTTGTGTATATCCAAATACATCCCCGTTGCAAGGGAGTATATCCCACTTCCTAACCAGCTTGCTTGAGATGATAAAATATTATAACCCAATTAGAAAACTTGCATATCCCCACGTATTTATATGGGTAATCTATGGCTTACCCATTGGCAATTTAACAGTTTGTATGAAAATGGATGAACGTTGCCCATTTATAGATCATATACCTATAAAAGATTGCGATTTTCTATATAGCTATGTCAAAGTACCAGAGGGTATAATCCCATTGATAGTGGTTGATTGGGTGAATCTCGCAGTTTTTCTATTTACGACCATTTTTCCCAACAAACTCCCAATCAAATCTTAACTCCCAAAATGGGGGTTTCCTGAAATGGTCAATGGGAATTCCAGGATCCTAAAGTGGAGATACTGTACCATATAAGGCCATATTTTGTGGGGATATTCCCTGAAATTTAGGCCTTACATAGGCCTTATATATGGTAGGTACCTCCAATCTAGGATCCTGAAATGGCCATTGATAAAATGGAGGTTTCCCAGTTTTCCTATTTACAGTAGAAAATACTCGAATAACCCCTATGCCGTGTATGCATGTTCATACCACATAGTGGTCCCAAAACGGAGCCCACTATATTGTTGTTGCCTTTGACTGTAAAGTGTACATAATGTCAGGGTTTTTACAACGGGAATAGACTATTCAAATAGTTATCGACAATGATAACTCATTTCCTTAATCCTGTAATCCGGGGTTTTGGTCATCAAACCATTTACTTGGCCAACAACGTTTGGCTCAAGGTGCCCGCTAAAACAGGTGTTGTTGCTTAGTGTCACTGGCCATTGTTACATCTGTTGACTACTGCATCTTGAATACACGTGAATATTACTTCTGGTACAATCCCCGCATTCACTGGATTTACTGGAATTTTGTGGTTATCAGCCGTAGCCCGGCTTATTTCTGCAGTTGTGAGATCAATTGGGAGCTATTGAAAGACTGAACATATCGGCAAGAAATCTAAGACTTCAATTGCATAGATCACTGAATTGTTCTTTCATTGGCACCTTCAATCTTTCACTCGCGCTTGCGCGACAATTTTCCCATCCTTCGCCGCCATTGGCGCGACTGCATGTCTGATCATAGACGTGACCGTTCCCGATCAAGAGTTCGAACTCGTGGCAGACGAGGGGGCAACCCGTGGAGGTCCAGCCAATTGAGCAGGTACAACCGCGGTGTGTCTTCAGCCATCGATTTTGCTACAGCAGAGGAACTTGGTCGGGCACCTCCGGAGCCACCTCAGCCACCACCACCGGCACCGGGTGCTAGGGGTGAGTGGAGGTGGGTTTGGGTCCCAGAGCAGGCTGACGTGAGGGACAGGCCTGCTGGTGATTCTGAGCCAACTTCGGCGTCTCGTCCTCGGTTGACATCTTCTTCAGTGGCACCAGTGCCAAGGCGTTCTGATCGATCTTCGGCGGAAACTCCGACAGGGGTGGAAGGCAGGAGCTCACGGGACTCGGCTGGTGTTGTGGAGGGACGTTCATCCAATCGGGCAGCAACATCACCTCGCGCAGAGCGCGAAAGGGAAGTTCCATCTCATCCAGCAACATCACCTCGCGCAGCGCGCGAAAGCGGCGATCCATCTCGATTGGTGACAACATCAACTCGCGCAGTGCGCGAAGGTGGAGATCGACCTCGACCGGCGGAAGCATCAGCTCGCGCTGTGCGCGAAGATCGAACCCGGCCGGCGGAGACATCAGCTCGCGCTGAGCGCGAAAGAGAGGTGAGGACATCTGGAACAGCTCGCGCAGAGCGCGATACAGCCTCAGCATCGACTCAAGTGACCACAAGGAGGACCATTCGAGTTCCGGCCAGGACATCATCGACGGCAGGGACCAGTGAAGTTTCTCGCATCGGGTCAAGGGGATCGTTGAGGCCTGTGGAGCCTAAGGCTGCTCCAAAGGCAACAGTGGTGGCCAAGGCAAAGGCCGAACCTCGTTCATCTCCAGATTCATCGGTGGCATCTACTCGCCCAGGAACTTCGGTTGAGCGACCGCTCATAGTTCTTGATTGGCATCGGACGCTGTCCTTTGAGTCTCAGAGTGGTGGATCCTACGTGCCCGAGAGGGTGAAGCAGACGCTTCGACGAGCTCAGTCATTGGGCTACGATCTTGGCATTTGCTCCTTCGCATCGGCGCCAGCCACTCAGTCCAGGGTGCTTCGTGAGGCACGTGATCTTGAGACTGAGTTGACACGAGCTTTCAGGTTCATCCACGTGGTCAACCGGAAGTTCACTTCGGATCCTGCCCGTGACAGGCCATCGCTCACGGGCTGTGCCACATCTAAGGCAGAAGAAGTCTGCCGTGTGGGGGCGGCCATTTTTGTGGACGACCAGCGCTCCCTCCTGCAGGAGGTGGAGCAACTTCAGGCTCGTCGAGCCGCTGGCAACAGGTGTCGGGTGTTGATCTCGCACGCCAATCGGCCATCGGCAGCTCTTGAGGAGCTCGACGATCTACTGGAGGAGGAGTCGGCTGCAGATTTCGGGTTGCCCAGCTTCTTGCGAAGCCTCTGGTGAAGGAGTGCAGGACATCTTGAGGAGTTGTTCATTGACTCATTTCTCAGCGGCGCAAGCGCAAGAGCAAGAGCAAGAGCAAGAACGAGGTTTCACTGCAATTGTTGCCAAGGAGTTTCACCGCAATTTTTGCTTGTTTCAAGTTTCACTGCAACATAGTTTCACCGCAACAGGTTGTTTCACTGCAAGCTTGGTGTTCGGCATTTTGCCCTCCTTCTCGCGCTTGCGCGATTTGTTGGAGAAGTTTGCACTGCCAGTTTTGCTCGCTGCCATCTGGCGCAATTTTGCATAGCTGATTGGCATTGACAAGTTCCCTGAATTTGAGTTCCCGTGCCAAAACATGAAGAGGGAGGTGCCGGCGACCCCATTCAAAGTGGACGGACCCAACAGTACATGGACTTCATCGACTGACTCCCCAGAGAAACTTGCAGAACAGCAATCTCAGCAAGCTGCAATGATGCACATTAGTGACCAACCTGCCAACCCGACTCAGGAGGCGATATCTTTGGCGAACAGGCTGAAGAGAGGACAGGGGTCAGCTGCGGCATCTGGTGGTTCAGCTCAATGGGGTGGAAGTTCAGCTTCGGGTCAACACGGTGTTCCCCCTAGTCTTCATCAGCACAATACCATCCAACAACATATGTATCAACAACAGGTCAACCAGATAGACCCTACACAGTTGGAACAATTGTTGGAATCACTGGTAAACGCAAAGGCAGAGGCAAACTATCAGCAACTCCGACAGCAAGCGCAACAAGAAGTTGAAAGCATCAGGCAACAGGCAGGAAACAATCACCAAATGTTGCAAGATCAGGTGTACCAAAAGTTGCAACAACTCAACCAAGAGAAACAGATGCTTGAGATGAGAGAGAGACAAACTCATCAACAGGCACAACAACGTTTTGAACAACTTCAACAAGAAGCCGTCAACCAGATTAAGAAGTTGTCCGAAGACAACATGAGGCTACAGGCAGAACTTGAGGATAGCCGCAAGTCGGCTGAGGGCCAAGTGAACTTCGTGAAGTTGCAGGCCGAATCTGAAAGACAGAGGGCTGTGGCGGAGCTCAAGGAACTTAGCTCCAAATTGGAGGTGATCATGACCCATCCTGAACGGGTAGGATCGACATCTGGGACGATGATGGGGTCACCTATTGGGAATCCTTTTGAACATCTACCCCAAGCTTACCAATCAGCCCAGCCAACTGAAATCATGTCAGCAGGTGCTAGTATTGCTAGTGCCAATCCTCTGGAAGTGATGTACTGTACATGTTGTGGATCACAGAATGTCATTGGACGACCGTCATGTTGGAGATGTTCAACATTACTGAGCACATTGACAGCCAAGAATGGCGCGGATTTGAATAGAATTCAGGATCATGGTTTTGACCCAGCACCATGTCCGCCTCCAAGTTTGGCACCATCCAGCTTCCGAGCATTGCAAGGTGTGGCAGCTAGCAGCGCGTCTATCGCAGCTGCGGCCGCGGCACCTATGGCGATCTCAGCGAGGTTTCCTGGAGGATGCGCGTCAAATGTCGCGCAGAGTGGGAACTTAGCTTCAGGGGGGCTGATGGCTCAGACTGGTTGTGGTCTTGGGGTTG